ACCCGGTGGGAGAGCCTCCACAGAGTCAACCCCTCACTTGGTTGACCCTTTGGAGGCCCCTCCACCGGGTCCACGTATTCGGAGTTCGGAACGTCATTGTACAGAACCAAAAACGATACTTTATGTAGTCGTGGCGGAAGCGCCTCCACAGCGTCAACAACTAGCTCAGTCGACTCCCTGGAGGCCCGTCCAACGAGTCCGCGTGCTGACAACACGGTATACCTACAAGAATAACGATTCACCAACAACAAGCACACAAACATTCCAGCTGCTTGGGTGAGCTTTTCAAACTCCAAAAGTTTCTCTCCAACCGATTCTTGTCCAAAATGCCTACCTTATACATCTAACGTTAGAAATCGGCAAACTCTTCAACGCAATTTCCGCGAAGTCATGAATCCGCTTGTTGATCTTCGCAATTGAATGTAAAGTTTAACCGGGGTGGGAGTTTAATATTCCCTAATACCCTTGTTGATCTTCCCAATTGAATGCAAAGTTTAACACAGGGGTGGGAGTTTAATATTCCCTAATACCCTTGTTGATCTTCCCAATTCAATGTAAAGTTTAACAGGGGTGGGAGTTTAATATTCCCTAATACCCTTGTTGATCTTCTCAATTGAATGTAAAGTGTAACGGGCCTGGGCGTAGTAGTAGTAGTAGTAGTAGTAGTAGTAGTGGTAGTGGTAGTGGTAGTGGTAGTGGTAGTGGTAGTGGTAGTGGTAGTGGTAGTGGTAGTGGTAGTGGTAGTAGTAGTAGTAGTAGTAGTAGTAGAACTAGTAGTAGTAGTAGTAGTAGTAGTAGTAGTAGGAGTAGGAGTAGGAGTAGGAGTAGGAGTAGGAGTAGGAGTAGGAGTAGGAGTAGGAGTAGGAGTAGTAGTAGTAGTAGTAACAGTAGTAGCAGTCGTAGTAGTAGAAGTAATAGTAATAGTAATAGTAGTAGCAGCAGCAGCAGCAGTAGTAGTAGTAGTAGCAGTAGCAGTAGCAGTAGCAGTAGCAGTAGCAGTAGTAGTAGTAGTAGTAGTAGTAGTCGTAGTCGTCGTCGTCGTAGTAGTAGTAGCCGTAGTAGTAGCAGTAGTCGTCGTCGTCGTAGTAGTAGTAGCCGTAGTAGTAGTAGTAGTAGTAGAAAGTAGTCCCTTCGTCGTAGTATAGTAAGTAGTCGTCGTAGAGAGTAGTAGTAAGTTCCTGCATAGTAGAAAGTAGTCAGTCCCTCATATAGTAGTAGTAGGTATACTAGTACTAGTCTAGTATTAGTCATAGTAAGTAGTAAGTAACTAGTGGTAGTAGTAGTAGTAGTAGTGGTAGTAGTAGTGGTAGTAGTAGTCGTCATAGTAGTAGTAGTCGTAGTAGTAGTAGTAGTAGTCGTCGTCGTCGTCGGCGTGCTTGCGTTACAAACAGTCGCACCTTCTCTTGCCTCTCCCTCCTGTCTTTTCCCCCCTACCTTTCGTCCCCCCCCTCTCAAGTCTATATATAGCAGTGGTAAATCAACAGACAAAGAACCGTTTTCAAGAGCTGGATGCCCTAAGGAAGGCTGCCAAATCCTTGCAAGCTGCTCGCTCCGGGGATTTGGAAGAAGAGGATGAAGGTCATGAGCTGATGAAATGCCACCGGTCACTCGGACTCATGGTGCGGTGCCAGCCCGGTGCCAGCCGATGTTTGGTCACAGATGGGAGGTTCAGTTCCCCAGGCCCCAGCACGTCCCAGCACCAGATTTCAGAGACCCCCATGATGGCCATGGCCCATGTTGCCCATCACGTTAGGTTCACCTCGAAGCATCCGCATCACCAGCTGACCTTCGCGCTGGCCAATGAATTTGCATTTCCCGACCCAGAGGCAGCTTGGCATAGCTTGGCTGGTTGGATTGAGTACTGATTTGTCAGAGGTGATACGGTCATACCTGCAAAACATCAAGGCCCCTGCTGATAATGCCTAAGACATAAGAAAATACAAGATTGAATATGGAATGCTTTCCTTAGTAGTAGAACATGTGAGGGTCGTTCTAAAGGATCTGAGGGTTTGTCACGTCCATTCCATTTTGGTCGTCTTGCCCGACCTGTGCCATCACCTTTCTAACAAGGCGTCTCATCAAGCTGTCTTGACCATCCTGGACCTGATTCTGGACATGCCCTGCCAGCGGCTGGACAGCAAACTGAGATATCATTTAAGGGTGGCATTTAATGGACAGTGGCTGGACTGCATGCGGGGCCTGATGGATTCATTGAGCACTTGACATTTTGACCAGGGATTGCTGGCCACCCAAGGATGTCTGTGCTTTTTTTCTCCACCCCTCAGCAGATATCAAACTGTATCCAAAATCTAGACAGGAACCACGTGCGTCATGTTTGTTTCTTTGGGAGTCACTAATCGAAGAGTCTGATTGTAGACTGTAGATCAGCGATATTTGGCAGAATTTGGCAGAACTCTGCTGCATGCTTGTGATTTTCCGTTTGCCATGCTGCAGCTTATATAACAGGTGCTAGGTAAGGTCAGAAGTTTGACATTTCGCCATGGCAGCGATCCGGCTCTTTGTCCTGGGCCTCACCTTGGTTTCGGCAGAAGATGCGCCTTTGCTGCGGGGCAGCAATCTGACGAAGCCAGACAATTTGACCTTGACCAAATCGGCATGGGGTGGCAAGGTGATTGGCAAGGATGTGCTCTATGACAAGATCATGGGCTATTGGGTGCCTTGTCCAACATTTGCTGCTGATCCTGGTTTGGTGGAACAGCCAACGCAACATGCTCGTGGGAAGCTTATGCGATCTCATGCCATCCCCGTGAGTTGTTTCAACATATTTCAACCGTATGGTGGCCCATGTTGTGACACTTTGTTTGGGTCATTTTCTAAAAAGGAATGAGCACCGCCCGGCAATTAGAACTTGAATATACTATAATGTACTGGGATTAAGATGAAGAAGAGGGAGCTGGTGCATGGGGTGCATGTTCGCCCATGTTCCAATTCCATCTTTGCTCAGGTGGGACAGCTGGTGGGCAACTTCATGGGGTTGCCATTTGAATTCCAGTACAACAACGAGCCAATGCCATTCGAGCCCAAGACTTACTACGATTTGGGCAGTGCCCGTGCATCAGGGTTGCGAATCAACACTGACGGCCGTGGACGAATTCCTCAGAGGTTGAGTCAGTTGCAAGGTGGGCAGAAAACATCAGAAAACATGCCTGTTTGGCCTTCAGGACTCATCATCTGGACTCTGGACCTAATTGCCTATCATTCAGACCAGTTGGCCCATTACATACAAATAATATCTATTGAGAGGGTATGGATGCTGCAAGATTGCACATGAGTCGAGACACCCCCCAAAAAGGTTTGCTTCGATTTGTGTATCCTGCATCCATTTGCCTTCTCAGCTCTTTTATGCTTTTGACTTTTGACCCAAGCCTTCATGCATTTTTCCTGGATTCCACAACTTCGAGGTGCCTATACAGATGACGACACAGATATTGAGTTCGTGACACTTCACGCCTTGGAGAGACATGGATTGGACTTGAGTTACAAGCAAATCGCCGGGTACTGGAAGAGGTTTGTGCACATTCGTGTCAATGGCGGTGATGCCTTGTGGTTTGCCAACAAGGTCGCTCGAGAGAACATGAACCGAGGTCAACTCCCACCTCAGACTGGGTCGCAGTCAAACAATCGCTACTGGATCGCAGTCAACACCACCCTCCAACTTTTGTCCCTGTGTACTACTTATGTTAGTGTTCTTATTATTCTTAAAATGGCTTTGGTCTTAGACGAAGCTGAGTGAAGTCTTGATACATCTTGATACTGAGGTTATTGGTGGACCATTGACCCTCAGTTGGTGAATGAGATCTGGAGCGCAGTGTATCCTGGCATGATCGACAAGGCCGTGGAGCGAGCGGAGTGGGGTGCTCGTATCACCAGCGACTCCTGGGGTACTCATCCCACTCGATTCTATGCTGCGCTATACTCTGGCGCCTTCTTCTCTTCCAATGTGGACCAACTCTATGGCATTGCCATGTCCAAAGTACCGGGAGACAGCCCCTTCCACCAGGGATTGAAAGACGTTCGCAGATGGAAAAATGAGAGCCCACATGATTGGAAGCCCACCTGGTACAAAATCAGGAACAAGTACGCCCGGTATCCGGCTGATTGTGGAGGCCTTGGGAAATTGCTATCACTGAAATGGCCGACCCAAGAGAGGGAACTACAGGGGCAGTAAAGGATGGTACAGCCATCCCGGGTGTGACAGTTGTATCACGAGTTGGGATGCAACGCTTGATGTGGTATCACATTGCATACTGTAAGTTATATATATATGCATACCGGATTGTGATGTGATGTGTGAAGTGCATTGTTTGCGCTCTTTGGATTCCGCAGGCTTTCCTTGGAATTGCGGGGTTTCTGCTATGATCAACGGCCTGATGGGTGGCATGGCATTCCTGTATGGTGGTGGTGACTTCCGTCGCACTGTGGGTGTGGCTATTGCAGCTGGCTTTGACTGCGACAACCAAGCAGCTACCCTGGGCGGTCTCATTGGTGTCATGCACGGAGGTAAGGCAATCCCCTACGACCTCACGCACAAGAGTCAAGGCAGCAATCGTGGTGCGCCCATCTGACATGTTTCCCTAGTGCACTTCTTTTGGCCACTTATAGTTGCCTAGTTTTGCATTCCTGAAACTGCCATTCGTCCGAGATTCGCTAGATCAAAGTTACCAGATCCAGCTGGAACATACACACCCCGGAAAATCCATCAAGACTGTCGACCTGCATACATAGTTGAAGTTGAATGCAAGAGCCAGGCTATCCCTAATTTTAGATCCAATCTCTGAGGATTGGCGGCAACAATTGGAAGGAGCCTTTCAACAACAAATATGTCAATGAACGCCGCCGGCCCCTCCCACGCGCCCTGACCAACAACCAGATCGTTTCAAAGGTGGCGCCTGAGGGGCTCAAGTTGGGAGGCTGCTGGCATTTCCCTATGGGAATGTTGGAAGCATTCGCAGGTGTACAACCCCGGTTTATATGCAGGAGATATCTTCGTAACTAAAGGATACTAAAGGTTAATGGTTAATTGGTAGTTATCCAAAGCTTTCACCCGAATGTATTCTTACATGTCCATTTTGTAGGTGCGGATTTTCCTCCATAGCCGCTATCCCCATAGCCTCAGACGAATTCTTGTCGCCAAACGGCCGTTGCAGATCATGCTTCTGACCGAGCGTGCCATCGTCCAGCAGGGCGGCCAGGACGGCCGATGGCAGTTGTCCATTATATAGATTCACCAAACTCAGAGACTTCCAACGCAGAAAACATAGAAATACAAATAGGAAAATAAGAGATGTTAGCATTGAATGGTTAGATTGCATCATATTGTATCAGAATATGAGGTCAGGTTTGTAGGCTAGCAGGCTGCTGGGCTGCTGAGAAGGGTACTGGGCATGCGTGTGCAGTATGACACGCTTGGTATCAGGGTAGTCATCACGAGCAAATGCTGGTGCACTGGTGTGTGCTGCAAACTGCAAATTCATAGCGCTTTTCAACTCTGGCCCGCTGACAAAGCAAGCAGGACTTGGGCAACACCATGCGGGTCCAAGTGTCAGCCGGGCTTTGAGACGTGGCCCGTTGGCCTCAGAAACAGGTAGTTAAGGCCTAGCGAAGGAAAGCCAGGCGGTACACTAGGCATAATAAAAACGAATCTGTTTCTGAAATTCAATGCATGCAACTGCCTGTGCAGCGACCTGTTGTTGGCAGTTTTTTGAGCAGCTCCGAGTGAGTTCTGCTTACCTACCGTATGTTTTGATGCCACGCCACCTGCCCAAACACAGCAGAAGCTCTGTATTCTCTCCTCTTCTGCAGCTTTGTCACAAGCTGATTTCCACGCTGAAGAGATTTTGGGAGTCTTCATGGCGTGGGCAGGGTAAGGGTGTGGCCGCGGTAAGGGGGCTTAATCATGTTTAGTCTAGTGAATGCCTAGCACGCTAAAATTTTCGAAGCATGGACCTAAATGAACAAGAGATTCGTGGGTCCCGCAGTTGCCTTAGCCATGGCATGGCACCTTAGAGGAGAAATTCCTTCGGTGCCATACCCATTTGCATCCAACTTGCTCCGCTTTGGCAAGGGCAACAAAGATTGAGGCTAGCTGGTCGCTGAAGCTGGTGAATTTGTGTGTGCGTGAGTGATCCTTGATTATCCTTTCTGTATTACAGGTGTTACAGTATGTAAAAACGCCCTGTGTCTGAGATTCTCCTCCTTCTTAGGCTAACCATTGAGACGGGCCGTGAGCTCGCACGGCGCTTGAGAAGCAGTGGAAAGGAAGAGTCTGCCGGGGATGTATTGCTAAAGGCACGGCCATATAAACAAAGCCGTGTGGAGACAATGTTGCAAAGACTCAAAAGACATTGCCTTCATTCGTTTACGTCATGCATTTTTTTTCCCCAAACAATGTGGCCACACTTAGGGTTCTTACGGTAGCTGTTAAGGCCCGGTGTTCATTCGAGGTGGTCTCATCTGTGTCCTGCAAGTTTGGCAATCCTTACAGCATCTTACAGCACAAAAGTTCCTTCATCTTCCGTTTTCGAAGGAAGTCTCGCACCAAATGATGTCCTTGTCTCTTCCGAAGGGCTCGTTTTACTAGAACGCCGCATTCGTTTTTTGAGCTGTGTCCATTCTGTGTGCAGGCGTGGCGCTTTTGGGACATTTTGAAGTCTAAAACGTCGTTTTGCGTGACAGGTGCAGGACATCTTACACCTTTTCATCCGTGTGGCAGGCGTGGCACTTTTTGCGCGTTGCTAAAACGATGGCAGGTGTGGGTCAAAATTGGATGTGGTTTTGGAGGTCATTTTGCGGGGCAGGCGCAGTATTTGGCAATTTGGTGTATATGGACGATGTTTTGAAAGGGTCGAAAGCATCGTTTTGTGAAACTGTTGTCATTTTTGATTTCGGACATGATGATGATTCCATGTGGCAGGTGCGGCACTTGGGATAGACCTCTGTCAAAAGTGCAGGAAACCTATGTGAAACGTCGTTTTTGTCATTTTTACTCTTCAATTTTCGTGGCGCGCGCAAATGTTTTGGAAAAATCTAAAATGTGCTCGCGCAACCTTCTCTTCACTTTGGGCTTAGATCTTGCCAAGAGAGTTCCTTTAGAGAGCTTGTACAGAGATCTCTTCAAGAGATCTTGCCAGGAGACCTCTTATAGGGAGCTCGTACAGAGATCTTGCGAAGAGACCTCTCATAGAGATCTTGTACAGAGATCTTGCCAAGAGGTATCTTACGGAGATCTTGCCAAGAGAGCTTATAGATAGCTTGTGCAGAGATCTCTGAAACAGATCTTGCCAAGAGACCTCTTATAGAGATCTTGCGAGGGAGGCCTCTTATAGAGATCTTGTACAGATATCTTGCCCGGAGACCTCTTATAAAGATCTTGTACGGAGACGTTGCATAGAGATCCGATTCATAGATCTTGCCAAGAGGTCTCTTACATAGATCTTGCATGATCTTGCCAAGAGAGATCTCATGGAGAGCTTGCACGAGATCTGTTTAAAAGATCTTGCCCAGAGAACTCGTATAGAGATCTTGTATATACAGAAATCTTGCCAAGCTCCTACAGAGATCTTGCCAAGAGACCTCCTATAGAGATCTTGTGCAGGGATCTTGCCACGAGACATCTTATAGAGATCTTGTAGGGAGACCTGGTGAAGAGAACATGGATTTTGCTCAGGGATCTCTTGTAGAGAGCTTGGACAGAGATCTTACTTTGAGATCTCTTACAGAGTTCTTCTGTGGAGATCTCTTTCGGACACATTTTACAGAAAACCTTACAAAGGAATCTTGCACAGCAGCTTCTACACAGAACCTGTCAAGGAGATCTTGCACGTGATTTTGTACAGAGATCTTCGCAAAGGGAAGTTGCAGAATGTAAGTGGAATTTTTTCTTCATGGTCTTTGCAACACTGTTTGGGGTCTCTTGCCGGGATAATGCTGATAATTTCATAGCGTATTTTTTCAGTGGTTTGTGTCGGCTGAACGACATTGCCCTGCCGCTCCGCAGGCGGCTTCAGTGACGATGCTGCTTGACGGCCTCTCGGCTAGAGATGGCCTTTGCAGAGCGGAATGCGGCAAGTTTCTTCATTGTCTTCAATTCAATGCTGTTGCTGGTTCCCTGAGGAAAACAAAGCATCGAGGAGGCGGATGTCTTAGCAGTGGGAGTCGTGCTATTGAGCTGAATGCCCATGCTGAGATGTAAGATGCTCAAATTCCAGTGTGAAGATGCTTTAACCATGTTTAGCCGCTTCAACTATCTTCAACAATCCTTTCCTTTACACACCACTCCCGACCACAAATGGATACAAATGGCAATTTTGTGCTCAGTCTGACAGGTGCTGGAAGACTGGGGCGAAGCAAAAACACGGCCCGTGGGGAGCTGAGAATCAGCGGTGCTGCAGACACCAACAGCAGTGCAACAGGTGGAATAAGAACACTATGATTCTGATGATTAATTCTGAGGGAAACTCAGGGAAACAATAGTAGTAGAGAGAAATTATAACCACACTGTTGGCATTCAACCATAATCAATCGTTTCCCTATTGATGATGTTGATGGAGTGCAAACATGCAATCACCCCGTTCCACTCCAATGCCAAAAGGATCCATAAGGAATGGCAGCTTTTCAACTTGTCTTTGCAACCCCCGAGTGGGTGCCTTCCTTCTTTTGACTACCTAACAACTTGCATTCTCCGAGACGATGCTTATCCTTTGAATAAGGGCGGCAGAAGAGCTTGTCTCTTGCACCCTGGCCCTGCTAGTAGAATTAGTAGAATATGGTCTTTAATAATTGCAGCCTCTCCAGTTTCCCAAGATGCCTTTCAAACTTGACACCAATGTATTTTGATGTATTTTGCCGATCTTTGCGGCTGCCCTGTTCATGACCCCCTTTGCTCAAGCTGCGTCTCAATGGCGCCTTGACGCCTTGGCCAGAAGCTTATTTCATACATTTTGATCCAATTGTTGCCAACGAACTGTTTGCCATCCAGATTGATCCCTGAACCTCTTGTCTCAGAGGCCCCTGCGATGGCGGGGCTCTCTGCACGGGATTATGGTGGAGGACTATCCACAGCAGGCAGTTCCATCGTGAGAGCAATCGGTTTTTCCTCTTGGGTGTGCGCACTGACTGAGGAAGAGGCCGATGCCAGCGTTTCCTTGGAAACTGTTTTTTCCGCGAAGTGCAGATGAGGCTCTATTTATCTAATCTGCACGCTTGCAGGCTGGGAGAAGCGTGCTAGCCAGGATGTCTCCTTGACAACTGACGATGGCTTTGATGAGGACTTCCCTTTTTTGTCTTTGAACATCATTTTAGGAACAACGGGAGAAGCCGTTTCGTGACTTCCTTCCGCGTTTTTTTCCTTCCTCTTTCTTAAAAAAATAAGTGAACTTCACTAGACCTGGGGCCTGCTCGCAAATAAATATCGCACTGGTTCGGAAGGAAGTTGCCCAAGCCGCTGGCATCACAGACGAGGAGGGGAGATTCGTTCGCCGGGACCTGGGACGAGTTTTTTCTTGGGCATATGGGAAGACGCAGTTTTAGGATGTAGCCCCGCGGCAGAAAAGGATAGAAAAGGATAGAAAAGGCAGAATAGAATGAACAGACATGCAAGGACGCAACTTGGAAAGCATGGTAGCCACGCCGTTTATTGAAAACCTGTTGAAAGGAGGAATAGCTGGGTAGATTTCCGATCTTCCCCACAAGGACCCAAACAAGGAGTTCCTCGCCCAGCGTGCCAAGGACAGGCCAAAGTGGCGAAACATGACGAAAAACTCAAATTATTATGATATATTATGATTATTTATATAATAAATTTCCAACATATTTCCAAAATCTGGCTGTCAACTAAGTTTCTGTAGAGGGTTGCTCTTGGTGGTTCGACTCCTAGTATAGGCCTGAGATGGTCAGCTGCCAGGTGCTGAGTTTTCTATCCGTGCCCACTGTTTCAGGAGGGTCGGGCCAAAGCCAAAGAGCTGGCTGAGTTTGCCAAGCTGCAGCAAAGCCAAAAGAAGGACGCAAACAAAGCACCTTTGCTGAAATAGCTGTAGGGGGATTCCAACGACCTTCTTGAGACCTCCATGTTTGCTTTGGAATCCGATTCTCAAACTCGAGCTCAGCATGGCGCTCATTCCAGAGTTTGTGTCTTTGAGCCAAGTCGAAGGTGGGTGACAGTGAAAAGGACCAAGTCAATGATGTAAAAAACATTAAAAAACTAGATAAAAGATGATAAAAGCGCGAACGGCTATTCCAGGGTGGTTTGGCGTCGTTGGTGGCAGAGCGCGCCTCAGCCAAAAACACGAAGAGAGTGCCTGGACTGCAAATCTCAATGGGCTTCCCAAACAAGGGACCCCAGACAAAGATTCAGTCGTGCTCTTGAAGGGTTTGTTCCTTTCATCAGTCATAGTCCTCACACGCGCACACACACACAGATATATAACTACACAATCATCACACAGCACACAGCACATATAAATCAAATTTGCAAATATTCTCTTGAACCTCCAGCCATTGGAAGAGTTCATTGCACATGTTGCACACGAGTTCACCGCGGCGCAAGGAACTGCCGAGTTTCCTGAAGGTTGGTGGACACATGGCTTGGATTTTGCCGGACTTCTCATGGAGCCATGGGCCAAACCGCAACGCAAAACAGTCCTGGGTGTGTGAACAGAGCGCAGCAGTCTGTTTGGTAAAAATTGTAGGCATTTTGATTTTAAGATTTTTGAGTAGGCTGTCGCCCGGGCTATTTGATTTGCTGTTTCAATGCCCTTGACACTTCCAAAGCTTGTGCACTCAAGGAGTCAAGGCCCAAACGTGACTTGCCGGCATTCGTTCCGCTCGCCAGCCACTTTTTGCCACATCATTTTCATAAATGTTCAACGTTAAAAGGAATAGAGCGGCATGTAGTAGTTTTGAGGGTTCTCATAGGACAAGGCAACAATTGTCAGAACATCCTGTGGCCTTTACGGATCAAAGTGGATCCAGCACTCCCATCACCACCTCATTCAACAAGGCCGGAACCAGAGGCCAAAAAAGCTAAGCTGGAGGAAGCAGCGGTGGAGGAGCTTTTGCCTTTGATGTGTTTAGTTTTGATTTGAAGGCTTGCATTTGATGTTGTGATTTGACTGGTTGCGGTTAGGAGTCGAAGCCTGCTGAAGAATCTGGAGGAGCAGGCATTGGAGGCACCTGACCCTTGCAGGGCTTCATGATCCAAGACAGTTTTGCCAAAGTAATTTGGACGGAAGCTACCCATATTTTTTAGTTGCACTGCTCAGATTGGCAAAAGAACAGCAAAACCATGATTGCCATCTCTATGATTGCCTGGGACCGCTGTTGAGGTCTGGGTGGCTATGAGTCTGACTCTGAGGATTAGTTCGGCTCGAGCCTGTCTCAGATTGGTAGGCAGCTGTGCAGAGCTCCGGTCCAAAGCCGGCACCGTTAACGAACCGCGACTGCGCGACAAAATCGGCGTGGGCTGGCTCCGTTACCAGGAGAGCAGTGTGAGACTCTGTGAGCCACGGGCGATCAGGGGAATTTTGTCTCACTGTTACCCGGTATATTGCTTGTTTTCCATGCCTTTCCGTGACTTTCCCTGCCTTTCCATACCTTTCTGGATATCCCAGAATTCAAGTGGATCATCAGGTCAAAGTGCCAAAGCCTGCGAAGACTGGGGACATGGAGTCCTTGCTTGCTGAAGAGGATCAGCTCCAGCATCACTTGGTGGGGCCTTAGTGTTAGTGTGGGATTCTTATGGATTCTTCATGTGGCACATGCATGGTCCAGGAGACCACCTGGCTTCAGAGACAGAGCGCCTTGGCTGCGAGGAATGGCCTGGCAGAAGTTGACACGCTGTCTGTTGGGGTCAAATTGCTCATTGGCAGCACCTAGCAGTTCAGACAAAATGGGGCGAAACATTAGTGTCTCGACTCCACATGCCTCCATTTCAAGGAAAAGCAGCTTCAAGCACTGTCAAAGCGAAGAAAGTCCCATTGGCGACTTCCTCAAACCAGGTGGGGGTTCCACTGAAAGCTTTGGTGTTAAGATCTTGTGCTACAAGAAGCAGTCTATAAACAATGCGTAGCATCGTTTCTATTGTCATTTCGCAATTGGCTATTTGGCCCTTGCGTGCGCTGACTTTCAGCGGCTTGTTCCAACCCCAAAGCTGCTTGTGTTGCCAGTTACTTGTACTCGTTGTGTTGCCAGTGAATGGTTTGTTCAACTCTGCCGCAAGGACAAACAAACCCAGCCCCAGCCTCCAGATGCTCAACCGGGCAAAGAGCCACAGAAGAAGATTGGCCCGAGCCTCAGAATACAGACTCACGCTCCTGGTATGGCGATGCTGCAGCTAGTGATTTATTGCAAACAGTTGGTACGAAGCGCAGGATTAGTAAATGTGTGACTCCTAAGATGCTCCAAACTCCGCGTGGATCGAGTGCGATGCAGTGAGCACTGCACTCTATCCGTGTGACTTAGGCCTGGCAACATGCACCATGCTGATGGTACCAGTTGCGCTTCTCTCCATGGTACTACTGCGCCGGCCGTGGGCGAAGACATGAGGAAAAGCTGCGGACCTAAAGTTTTAAAGGAATCTTGCCATTTTGGGGTGAGGCATGGTACCAGCAAGAATGAAGTCCCAGTCTAGGCATTAGCGGGTGGGAGCAGAAGGCAGCAACATCAAACATTTGTCAGCCAGAATTGCGTCGCTCACGGACATTGCATGACTCGCAGCTTTTATGGGGGCAAGCTTTCCCTCGAAGCCCAGGCCAAGTGTCATGAAAGTCATGATGCATCCACGTGCGTGCAATAACACTTGGACAGTATAGGACATGGCACTCAGCAATGCCCACGTACCTGGCAGTGCAGGTCCAGAACATAGTCACACTAAAAGCTTACTGCAGGCCTTACTGCATATACAGCATACCGGCAACATACCACATCGCATGGACATAGAACTTGTCGCCTCGTCGTGTGTTGCCCTTTGTGGCCACCATGCCGCCAGCATACACACCAGCTCGAGGGAGCCATGAGTTCATCAGGCAGTTCTCATGGACATTCATGGACATGTCATAGCACATCACACTAACCAAAAAGTATCTAGAATCTAGAGATACAATATATAGAGATACTAGAGGGAGTCGGCGTGAAGGGACCAGAACATGTGGCAGCGAAGTGAGCCAACTGCGAGTTGCTTCACTTTTGACCTGGTCCTACTGGTAGGTTGGTTGAACACACCACCAATGCATTGGTGACGAAAGACGATGGGGCGCTGGAGGAGGTCAAAAAGGCTTTGATCCAGGCGGGCACCCCGAATTCCAATTGATTATCACGGATTATCATTTTCTAATTCGATTTCCCTATGAAAATGATTGAAAATGGCCATTGGGGGATACACCATTGGCAAACCCATTTGTAACTCGCATTTGACTCACGCCATTTGGAAGACCACTTTAGTATTGCAGGGTTTTTTGGCATAGATGTGCACGAAACACTGTAAAGCAATATGGTCCCCTCCAAAAGCGATAATGACACAAAACACAGGAAGGCGATATGATCCCCGCCAAACAGCGATAACCGAAAATAGCAACTACTGAGATGTAAAGGATTTTGAGGGGAACTCATTTGGACTTCGTGTGCAAGGTGCACCAGCAGTTCGACCAAGTCCACGAGGAATCAGAAGCCAAACAGGCTCGCCTGAATCGCCTGCGAGAAGAGATCCGTACTGCGGACCAGCAGCATGTGAATAAAGGCAGGGCTTCTGGGATTAGCCGATTAGCCTGGGATGATGTGAGACAATGGGGACGGAGCAGGCCGTGTTGTTGTCAGGGTTGAGCTCACACAATGTTGAAACGCGGCGAGGGGATTGGAGCAAGAAGATGGACGAGACCTGGAATGCCTTATCAACGCAGTACCTGGAGGTCAAGAAGCGCAACCAGGAGACCATGGTCTGCCCATGTCTGCCCCTCACCTTCAATACTTCACAATGCTTCACTGTAATTCATCTTGATCTGCCAAATGAGCACTTGTTACACATGGCACGTGACTTGGGGGCAAGTGCCCTAGCCGTAGCAGACAAAAACTACTAGTGTTGGGTTTGGATGGTATTGTTTATGTACATGTTTTTCTCATGATCTTTCAAGTGTCTCCATCCTTTCACACCTGGGCCATTTTTCCAGGACTCCTTGCTGAGCAAGAAAGTTTACCAACATATGCTGAAGCGAACGCAGAGGGAACAGGCCATCTTAAAGCAGAAGCTGTTCCAAATGGAGGAGCTTCATGTAGATCTTGAAATATCTTGAAGGCTCATGCAGAAAGTATGAACAAGTGTCACTCGCGACGATTTTTTGGAAGCTTTGCTGTACACGTGTGCTTCTTACCAACGGTGTTCCTTTTTTCTTGGTTTCGTACGCAGGAGCACTTGGATCGGAAGAAGCGAGAACTCCAACAGAAACGTGCCGAGAGCGAGCAAGCGAGGCTCCAGAAACTGTCTGACCAATTCTCACGTTGTGCGTAAAGATGATCACCCACAGCACAGCACTGCGGGTGTTCGCTTTATTTTTCGCCATTTTTAAAGACTTCATTTTATCTCAATGTTGAGCATGCCAGAGTGTGGATCCGAAACAAGCGCAGGTGTGCAAGAGTCCAGATCCACCAGACGCTGGAGAACTATAGTGAGGAGGTGTGGCTTAGCAGCTGTTGAGGCCAGATGGGTCCTAAAACATTTTGAATGCAGGCGACCCGAGAGCGCGACGTTTGCAAGTCAGCCTTGGAGGCTATCAATGGTAGCTTGTCGGAAACACTCAAGTGCGACTTTTTGGCTGTTCTTGGGTTCACCTACACCTGGGCTGCAAAAGTAGCTTCTGAGGTGAGTTTGAGAAACGAAAGGAGGCAAATGGAAGGCGGCGCCATCTGGGGACACCCACACCACTATGCCATCATTTTCGTAGAAATCCGCAAAAGTCAGAGGCACAATATCTTCCAATCAAGAAAGCTGGGGCCTCCGGCCTTGGTTTTGGCTAGGAATGCCAGCTTTATGCACCATGAACATGTATCATCTTTTGATACGAGTCTCATTCCTTTGAGTTCCCACTTGCGCCATTTGTTCGTATCCTGGGTGCCCTCCGCATCACAATCATCGCCACGCCATGGACATCCCGACGATGATCATTGTCACTATGTTTATTATCAGCACCACTGTCGTGAATCGTGTTCAGTGTCATCATATCAGGTTAATCCTCTCCTTCACCTCACCCTCACCTGCCCAAACATGTTCCTGCTGTTTGTTTATCACACATATTCACACATCATATGAGTCGTGTTGCGCGCGTCTGCCACCAAGATGATGTTTGTCTTTCGAATGGAGGCGAGCAGACTTCGAGAGCTGGAGACACGAGGCCATTTTTTGGCAAGCCACTGACAGTATGGTGCCGACACCTTTAACAGCACCTATCACATCCCAACCTTGCCTATGTATGAAAACCACATTCAGAGACAGGACATGTACATACATGATACTATATGATATACAATACATTTGCATCTGTTCAACACATGTATCATTCCATGCATCTACATCAAGTGCAGCATGGCAAAGGTGGCTCTGGATGCTGCCAACGAAGCCTTCAACACCTCTGCTGGCCGCCTCCGAAAGCTTTATGCCATCGAGAAACTCTCTGGGAATCTCAGCTTGAAACGGCCGACAGGAACATCGAAGAACTTCACTGTCAGATAGGTAAGCAAGAGATGATAAGAGATGGGCAAAAAACAGAGCAGGCAGACGATGGAAGAAGACCGGGGTGAAGAGAATCATTTAGTGAAGCTAGTGCAGCTCTTAGATTCTATATATGATTATCTATTTAATTTATATATGATTATATATTTAATTTATATATATATATTTAATATATATATATATATAGTGACGGACATACACTTAGAACATAATTTGGGAAGAAAAACAAGATTGATGCCGGGAGCGATTCTCACACTTAGAACATCCCCGAATCTCACACTTAGAACCTCCAGTTTGATACTGAATCACACGGTGCCCTGCAGAAGCCTCACACTTAGAACATCCTGTAGACATCTGTAGACATAATCATATATTTTGTATTGAAAACCATATGTTAGCTCGAAGATTTGACTATTCTTCACAACTGGTTGAATGCCAGTGGTATCATACCCTGGGGAAGCTTCACACTTAGAACATCACAAAACACATTGAAAAACATATGAGGTACGGTCAAACTCTGGTATACTACTTATGTAAGGAGAGTTCTCTGGTGTCTGGAAAATGCGCAAAACACTGTTTAGTGATAGGGCCCCTCCACAAGCGATACCTATAATTGTGCATAATGTCCACATCTGAAATTGTTTTGCACAAAGTTACGTACATGCAAGAGGCTAAATTAACGATACCCCTACCGATACCTTTACCGATACCTTAGCGATACCCATTTGTGCAAAAGGTAGCCCCAGACCAGACCACAAATAGATCCTTTCCTTTTTCCTTTCCGTTTTGCCCTTCCTTTGCCGTTACTCCTTTTCTTTTCTCTTCCTTTCCTCTTCCCTTCCTTTTCTTTTCCTTTTCCATTTCTTTTCCATTCCTTTTCCTTTCCTCTTCATTTCCTTTCCTGTTCTTCTCCTCTTCCTTTCTTTTTCTTTTCCTCTTCCCCTTTCCTCTTCCCTTCCTTTTCTTTTCCTTTCCTCTTTCTTTCCTTTTCTTTTCCTCTTCCCAATCATTTTCCTTTCCTTTCCCTTTTCCTTCTCCTTTTTCTTTTCCTTTTCCCTTTCCTTTTCCTTTTCCTTTCTTCTTCCGTCCCTCTTCCTTGCCTCTTTTTGCAAAACCATGGGTACAGTAGCGATAGGCCCCCTCCAAAAGCGACACCCAATTTTCGGGAACCAAGCGAAGACAATAAGTTTTGACAAGACCTCATATATGCCAGCAATCTGCTGTGGAGACCCCACACTTAGAACATCCGATGTTGAATTGCGCCCCAATATTGATTCAACTACGCTTTAGTGTTGATGTACAAGGGGATTCCAAATGTGCTTCTAGTTAAGTTCACATCTCAAAGATTCTGAATCAAATCAGTGCATTACCCGTTCCACATTGGATTCACAAGTCGGCTGACAGTTAAATAAACATGATACTGTATTGTTTTTTTATTGATATGCTAGCATTCTGCTGTGCAGACCCCACACTTAGAACATCCCATATTGAATTGCGTTTGAATGTTGGTTCAACTACGCCGTAGTTAGTGTTGATGTACATGGGGATTACAAATGTGCTTTGATTACCCCTTCCACATTGGATTCAAAATTCGACTGGCAGTTATATATATATATTATATATATATATGCTAACATTCTGCTGTGGAGACCCCGCACTTAGAACATCCGATGTTGAATTGCGCTTGAATATTGGTTCAACCGCGCTTTAGTGTTGATGTACATGAGGATTCCAAATGTGCTTCGGGTGAAGTTCACACCCCAAAGAGTTCTGAATCAAATCAATAGATTACCCGTTCCACATTGGAGTCTAAATTCGGCTGACTTTAATTTACGTTATATATATATATATAAATTTACTAGCATCCTGCAGTGGAGACACCACACTTAGAACATGCCATGCCGAATTGCATTTGACTATTGATTCAACTACGCTTTAGTGTTGATGTACATGGGGATTCCACATCTCAAAGATTTCTGAATCAAATCAATGGATTACGCGTTCCACATTGGATTTCAAATTCGGCTGACTTTTATATATATATATATGCATGCTAACAATCCGCTGTGGGGACGCCACATTTAGAACATCCCATGCCGAATTGCGCTTGACTATTGATTCAACTACGCTTTAGTGTTGATGTACATGGGGATTCCAAATGTGCTTCGGGCTAAGTTCACATCTCAAAGAATTCTGAATCGAATCAGTAGATTACCCGTTTCACATTGAATTCAAAATCCGACTGCCAGTTATATATAAATATTTATATGCTAGCATTCTGCTGTGGAGACCCCGCCCTTAGAACATCCCCTGCCGAATTGCGCTTGACTATTGATTCAACTACGCTTTAGTGTTGATGTACATGGTGATTCCAAATGTGCTTCGAGCTAAGTTCACATCTCAAAGATTTCTGAATCAAATCAGTAGAGTACCCGTTCCACATTGGATTCAGAAGTCGGCTGACTTTGATTTATTTATTGATTTATATATATATATGCTAACATTCTGCTGTGGAGACCCCACACTTAGAACATCCCATGCCGAATTGCGCTTGACTATTGATTCTGATTCGACGACGCTTTAGTGTTGATGTACATGGGAATTCCAAATGTGCCTGGAGTTAAGTTCACATCTCAAAGATCTCTGAATCCAATCAGTAGATTACCCATTCCACATTGAAGTCAAAATTCGGCTGACAGTTAGTTATATATATATATATATATGTATGCTAGCATTCTGTAGTGGAGACCCCACACTTGGAACATCCCATGCCGATTTGCGCTTGACTATTGATTCAACTACGCTTTAGTGCTGATGTGCATGGCGATTCCACATGTGCGTCGGGTTAAGTTCACATCTCAAAGGTTTCAGAAGCAAATCAGTTGATTACCCGATCCACATTGGATTTCATTTTCAAATTCGGCTGACAGATATAAAAAAAATATATATAGATTTGTATGCTAACATTCTGCTGTGGAGACCCCACACTTAGAACATCCCATGTTGAACTACGCTTGAATATTGATTCAACTACGCTTTAGTGTTGATGTACATGGGGATTCCAAATGTGGCTCGAGTTAAGTTCACATCTCAATCATCTCTGAATCAAGTCAGTAGATTACCCATTCCACATTGAATTCAAAATTCGGGTGCCGGTTATATATATATATATGCTAGCATTCTGCTGTGGAGACCCCACACTTAGAACATCCCATTTTTAACCACGCTTGAATATTGATTCAACTACGCTTTAGTGTTGATGCACATGGTGATTCCACATGTGCTTCGAGCTAAGTTCACATCTCAAAGATTTCTGAACCAAATCAGTGCATTACCCGTTCCACATTGGATTCAGAATTCGGCTGACTTTGATATATATATATATATGTATATGCTAGCATTCTGCTGTGGAGGCCCCACACTTAGAACATCCCAAATGCTTACCTACATCATCGCAACATTGACGGTATCTACTTCGTTGCCATTGTCGACAGAGCTGCAGGAAGTGTACTTTATCCCAAGGCCCCGAAACAAGGCTTTGGCTGCAGTCAAAATTCAAAATTATATATATATATATATGTATTTTATTTAATTTTCTTATTTATTTACATGTATATAAATTTCATGCAATATTTATCGAGCTATATAAACGTACATATGAAAACGATTATAGTGACGGGCAATCACCTAGAACATCAATGTTTCCAAATTGTCCAATCTCTCACTTTAGAACCGCCGTCTGGTGAGTTTCCCTCCACACATAGACGAATCCCTGTCACTGTCAGGCACATCTGAAGCGGAACTGCTTGGGAAGATCAACAGAGATGTGTATATATGAGGTGCGCAAGAATTGCCAAACAAAGGAATCAACATTAGCTTGAAATGATCGCTATGCAACCGGCACTTGGGAAAATCTGCTGAGATGTGTGCATTTCAAGTTTGCAAACATTGCCAAGCAAAGGCATCCAAAGTATCGTGAATTGCAAGCAATTTGATCGAAAAAAAGAAACATGTGTGCAGAGTTTATGATGAGAGAAATTATGATAATGTTGAGAAATAATCAGTAGCTCGCAAAGACCCCACACTTAGAACATCAGGGGCAATGTTGCTCTGATGTTCTAAGTGGGGTGTTCTAACTGTGGTGCGTTTTCCTTAAACAAACAGTTCTAAGTGTGAGATCTGAAAATTTGGAAAATATGTTCTAAGTGTATGTCCGGCACTATATATACATACGTATACATATGATGGACACGGTTTGAAGGGAGGCCATTAGATGAGGTGTGCGAACCTCTATGAAGCACACCAGGCAAATGTTGCACTGCTATCCTGGACATTTCAGAATTCTATGCTTGAAGAGGTTCATCCTACTGACAGATCTTGGGTCCATGGTGGTCGAGTCGAGGAATTTTCTGCAGAAGACCACCTTCGAACAGGTGGAACGATCACAGACCACCGAAGATAACTTTCAAAAGATCCGAGACGTCACGGGCCTTGCGGACGTGCCTTGGAACACTTCATGCTTCAAGCCCCTTCAAGCCTTTGAGCTCTGATTGATCTGTGAAGACGGACTGCGATGTGCCAAAATCTGAAAAATGGTGAGCGAAGACAATACGTTGAATTTCAGCGGGTGGTCCCTGTCGCATGTTTCGATCCCGTCGCTGCCTGACCAGAGGTAATGGACATTGTGCACAAGTTCCTGAACCGCGATGTAGAACAGGACAGCACTGGTCCAAGTTCTTTTTGCTCGTAGCACGGACGGTAAGTCTAAGAGGCCGAAACGGGCACCTTGCCGCAAAGCTTAGGGTAATTTCGCCACGCAAGCCTCAATTCTACCCTTTAAAGGTACTGTCTAATGACCAAATGGTGAGATTAGTTGGGTGCCTCATGCTATTGTAGTTCCTTTGTGTCACCCTTCTTTATTAATGCTGCGATGCACAATTGCCGTTTGAGGAACAGCTGAAGAAATCCGTGAAGGAAGCGGAACTAACCCTGGAGGCATGTTTGACAGATTCTCTCCATCAATGGTTCATTTGGACAATATACAGTGGTATTCCTGGTAATAGTCCCCACCAGGCACTACTGCACAAGAATGAGAAGCTGAAAAAGGAGATGGAAGGCTGGTGGGTGCCGTTACTACATCTCAATTCCTAAGTGTACCATGAGTGGGTCAAAATTGTGTACCCAAAATATTCCAAAACCAAAAAGAAAGAATGTTTATATAATTTTGTTCACCCCAGCGGTTTGACCCATACCCATCGGAACTTCCCTAAAGGCACTCGTGCGTGGGAGGTCTTCCAGTGAACAGCGCGGATGACCCCATGGCCTTGCACAAGGCAGGTATCAAGGCCTTCCTAAATGAAATCGATTGAAATTGGGGATAGCACAACCATTGAGTTCCCTTCATTGAGTCCCCTTATGTACCAAGACAAACCATGGGCAGGTCTTAGTTGATACCACAACAGGGATGGGTTTCGCAGTGGCTTTCGCGCACCGCAGGAGCTGGAACAGGCAGAACAGAAGCTCAATGAAGCCATCGAAGAGCAAGAGGCTGGGCCTAGTGGCGTTTTAAATCTCAAGGGTTCTGTTGATGTGGTGGATGGTTGTTACATGTTGTTGCTGAAACATGGCGTCCACTGTTAAATTGGTGACTGGGAGGGAACAAATGTTTCAGAAGGTTTCAGAACACTCCGCTACTGCCCTGACAATTTTGAGAATCGTTGGCAGCTGTTGTCTTGAGTCTCAGGCCTGCCGTGTCCGCCTGCAGAAGACGACCATCCAATCAGAGCACATGAAACGCTGGGCTGTTCCTTGGACGGAGTTTTGTGCCAATTGAACGGTTTCTCAACCAACCTGGATATTTTCCTATGTTTTTTCTGCTTTTTGCTGGATGCATTGAACATAGTCAAAGAAAAGAGACTTGCAACTAGGCGGGCATTGTGCTGTCCCTTATACCATCTTGAGCTTGAGTGTTTCTTGCCATTCTTGTTTCATTGTTTCTGGGCGAAAAAGCAACTGGAAAGTGACATCAAGTGACCTTGAACACGACCCAAACTGAATTCGCAATTCCTCAGTGTCCGAGGCAAGAATGGGACAAGTCTTGGCCAAGTTCGAAGAGCCTGCGAAGGTTGGGGGGACAGGTGATTTGGGCGCGAGTTGTGAGCTGTGCATCGTTTTATCGATACAATGCTGGCATATTTGAACTACCCGTCTGGAGATTGGGAGCGGTATAATTTATAAAACCAATAATACACAGTCGAAAAAACATGCAAGCTTGATGGCGATGATGGTTACACTGATGAGATCGTTCATGAGAGCCAGTAGTTTTGACAAGGACGATGCTGTAAGATATGCCACTGGCTCCATGGCAGCCTTGGGAAGGTGGACAAGCCAGAAGACCTACCAGCCTTCTTCAAGAAATTGGAAAGTGCAGTACGGAAGTTCATTAAGAAAGTCTCTGATCAGAAACTTGGCCAAGCTTTGCCCCGTGCGCAGCAAATGCATGTGTGTTGATCCACTCCTGCCCCGTAGTTTGCCCTGGTCTTGCCCCAAGGATCAAGGCTGGAAAGATCAATAGGAAGACGTTCAGAGATTTTGAGAAAGTTGAGAACGAGGCCCGTTGCTTGACAGGTTAACCTCTAAAGTTCCCCGGGCGTGTAGGAATTATGCCCTCCAAATGTCAATGATTGGATGGGGCCTTCGCCCTGTAGGAGCAAAAGAACCTGCTCAACAACCACAGCTTTTTGAAAGACAACTGCCGTGCACAAGCCAGTGATGTTCAAGCCGCTGGCAGCCCGGAGAACTAATAGCGGTTGCTACAGCCCCTCTGAAACTGCTACAGCTGAGATGCCATGAACTCAACTCACGAACATCAGGTGGTAGAATGATGTAGAATCAGTAGAATGGCCCTTTTCATCCCTTTTCATCCATTTTCAAGGTTTTCAATAGTGTTTCAATATGTTTCAATGATGATTTGTTTGTGCTTCTTGAGATCCCACATCTTGGCCATGGCGCCGAGGCATTGGTCGACCAACTTCGCGGCAGGGTGATGGAAATGAGGATGATCCAGCGACCAACTTCCAGGAAGACAGGGAGAAGTGTAAGAATGAGGCGGAGGTCTGCGCCGTTCTGTGCAGTGTGGTGTGGTTGGGGTCTGGATAGCATACCCCTCTTGCAGGATGGGCATGGTCAAAGATTAAACATGAATCTGGCACATTACCATTACATGCTATTGCAACCTATTGCAATCTATTGCATATGCGCGATAATTGATATGTAGATACGTGTGCTGCATACCGTTTTCTTCATGCTCTCCCTTGCAGCGTTCAACTGCCCGGTTTCCCTCGAGTCTTGCTGGAGGCGCGGGTGCGAGCACAGAAACGCCCTGGCAACTGAGCTTAGTGGCTTGATGCGTGGCTGTGGCGATTGCTTGACCTTTGGTTGTTTGGTTTTAGAGGTGACATGGGTGACATGGTGTTGTTTGGCAATCTCTGCCTTGAAAGATGTTGCAAATCGGTTCCTTGTCCAAAGCATGGCATCGCGATGACAGAGATGTCCTTTTCCTTTCACAGGCGCATGCAACATGCACGCTTGGTTTCACCCTACCCAGCGTCCACAGCGCTGAGCCCCAAAATGATGCTGTGGTGAGCCTGTCAATCCATAGGAAACCATGACCGAATGAACCAACATAAGACTCAGAATCTATTCTGCAAAAGGATCATCATTTACTTACTTGACATTGACAACCCGTCATCCCATATTTTGAAAATTTGCCTGTTTGCTTCACTCCATGATTTAAAACAACTGCACATCGCCCGCTGTCACGGGAGGCCAAACGGGTCTCTGAGCACACCAAGTCTGTGCACATCACCAAAGGAATGTCCTTCGAGGAGAGTTGTGGCCTGTAACTATATGTAACTGGTCCCATCAACCAGGCGAGATATGAAGAAAACGATGGTCATAGGCCATAGGAAAAAAATGGACCGAGATGGCTCAGCTTTGGAGTTTGGGACTGAACCTTTCTAGCTTGGATGGTCCCAGATGATCCGAGATGATGAATTGGATTTGCTATTATAATATGCCACGTATATACAATACATAAATGCATACATGCATACATCCATAAATCCATACATCCATACATCCAAACATCCATACATCCATACATCCATCCATACATCCATACATCCATACATCCAAACATCCATACATCCATACATCCATACATCCATCCATACATCCATACATCCAAACATCCATACATCCATACATCCATACATCCATACATCCCATCCATACATCCATACATCCATACATCCATACATCCATACATCCATACATCCATCCATACATCCATACATCCATACAATCATACATCCATACATCCATACATCCATACATCCATACATCCATCCATACATCCATACATCCAAACATCCATACGTCCATACTTCCATACATCCATCCATACATCCATACATCCATACATCCATACATCCATACATCCAACATCCATACATCCATACATCCATACATCCATCCATACATCCATACATCCATACATCCATACATCCATCCATACATCCATCCATACATCCATACATCCAACATCCATACATCCATACATCCATCCATACATCCATACATCCAAACATCCATACATCCATACATCCATACATCCATACATCCATACATCCATACATCCATACATCCAAACATCCATACATCCATACATCCATCCATACATCCATACATCCATACATCCATACATCCATACAATCATACATCCATACATCCATACATCCATACATCCGTACATCCATACACCAATACATCCATGCATCCATACATCCATCCATACATCCAAACATCCATACATCCATACATCCATCCATACATCCATACATCCAAACATCCATACATCCATACATCCAAACATCCATACATCCATGCATCCATACAATCATACATCCATACATCCATACATCCATACATCCGTACATCCATACATCAATACATCCATGCATCCATACATCCATACATCCATCCATCCATCCATCCACCCATCCATACATACATACATACATACATACACACATACATACAACACATACAACACATACCATACAACACATACAACACATACAACACATACAACGCATACAACACATACAACACATACAACACATACAACACATACAACACATACAACACATACAAAACATACAACACATACAATACATACAATACATACAATACATACAATACATACAATACATACAAAACATACAGAACATACAAAACATACTACACATACAATACATACTGCACATACAATACATACTACACATACTACACATACAATACATACAATACATACAATGCATAGATGCATGCATGCATACATGCATACATGCATACATGCATACATGCATACATGCATACATGCATACATGCAAGCATGCAAACATGCAAACATGCATACATGCATGCATGCATGCATACATGCATACATACATACATACATCCGTTACATACATACACACACACATACACACATTCACACATACACGCATACACATATGCATATATACCTATACATTTACATATACACATACACACATACACATACACATACACACATACACACGCATACCTACATACCTACATACCTACAGACATAAATACATCACATACATCACATGCATCACATACATCACATATATCACATACATCACATACATCACATACATCACATACACCAGATACATCACATACACCACATACATCACATACACCCATCAAATACATCACATACATCACATACATACATCACATACATCACATACATATATCACATACATCACATCCATCACATCCATCACATACATCACATCCATCACATCCATCACATCCATCACATCCATCACATCCATCACATCCATCACATCCATCACATCCATCACATCCATCACATACATCACATACATCACATACATCACATACATCACATACATCACATCCATCACATCCATCACATCCATCACATCCATCACATCCATCACATCCATCACATCCATCACATCCATCACATACATCACATACATCACATACATCACATCCATCACATCCGTCACATCCATCACATCCATCACATACATCACATACATCACATCCGTCACATCCATCACATACATCACATCCATCACATCCATCACATCCATCACATACATCACATACATCACATACATCACATACATCACATACATCACATCCATCACACCCATCACATCCATCACACCCATCACATCCATCACATCCATCACATACATCACATACATCACATACATCACATCCATCACATCCATCACATCCGTCACATCCATCACATCCATCACATACATCACATCCATCACATCCATCACATCCATCACATCCATCACATCCATCACATCCATCACATCCATCACATCCATCACATCCATCACATCCATCACATCCATCACATCCATCACAACCATCACAAACATCACATACATCACATACATCACATCCATCACATCCATCACATCCATCACATCCATCACATCCATCACATCCATCACATCCATCACATCCATCACATACATCACATACATCACATACATCACATCCATCACATCCGTCACATCCGTCACATCCATCACATACATCACATACGTCACATCCGTCACATCCATCACATACATCACATCCATCACATCCATCACATCCATCACATCCATCACATACATCACATACATCACATACATCACATACATCACATACATCACATCCATCACACCCATCACATCCATCACACCCATCACATCCATCACATCCATCACATACATCACATACATCACATACATCACATCCATCACATACGTCACATCCGTCACATCCATCACATCCATCACATACATCACATCCATCACATCCATCACATCCATCACATCCATCACATCCATCACATCCATCACATCCATCACATCCATCACATCCATCACATCCATCACATACATCACATACATCACATCCATCACATCCATCACATACATCACATACATCACATACATCACATCCATCACATACATCACATACATCACATACATCACATACATCACATACATCACATACATCACATACATCACATACATACATACATACATACATACATACATACATACATACATACATACATACATACATACATACATACACACATACATACATACATACATCCATCACATACATACATACATACATACACACATACATACATACATACATACATACATACATACATACATACATACATACATACATCACATACATCACATACATCACATACATAACATACATCACATACATCACATACATCACATACATCACATGCATCGCATGCATCGCATGCATCGCATGCATCCCATGCATCACATGCATCACATCCATCACATCCATCACATCCATCACATCCATCACATGCACCACATACATCACATACATCACATACATCACATCCATCACATCCATCACATCCATCACATCCATCACATACATCACATGTTTCACATACATCACATACATCACATACATCACATACATACATAACACGCATACATCACATACATACATCACACACATACGCACATACACACATACGCACATACACACATACATACCTACATACCTACATACCTACATACCTACATACCTACATACATACATACATACATACGTAGATACGTACATCACACACATCACATACATCACATGCATCACATACATCACATACATCACATACGTCACATACATCACATACATCACATATATCTCATTAAGTATACATCACATACATACATTACATTACATTACATTACATTAAGTAACATGACATTACATTACATGACATACATTACATGATTACATACATTACATGCATTACATACATTACATACATTACATGCATTACACACACACATCATACATTACATACATTACGTACATCACATACATCACATACATCACATACATTACAGACCCTACATACGCTACATACGCTACATACGCTACATACATTGCATACCCTACATACCCTACATACGCTACATACATTACATACATTACATACATTACATACATTACATGCATTACATACATTACATACAGCAGATACATTACATACATTACATACATTACACCCATTACATCCATTACATCCATTTCATGCATTCCATTCATTCCATCCATTCCATCCATTCCATCCCATTCCATTACATTCCATTCCATTACATTTCATTCCATACCATACCCTACATACCCTACATACCGTCATATCAAACATACCATACATACCATACATACCGCACATACCATGCAGACCATACAGACCATACAGACCATACAGACCATACAGACCATACATACCATACATACCATAGATATCATAGATACCATAGATACCATACATACATCCATACCATCCACACTATACACATCAGACACATCATACACACCATACACACCATACATACCATGCATACCATGCATACAATACATACCATACATACCATACAGACCATAGATACCATATATACCATCCATACCATCCATGCCATCCATACCATCCATACCAGCCATACCAGCCATACCAGCCATACCAGCCATCCATCCATCCATCCATCCATGCATCCATCCATCCATCCATCCACCCATCCATCCATCCATTCATCCATCCATGCACACACACATACACACACATACACACACATACATACAATACAATACAATACCAATACCAACACCAATACCAATACCAATACCAATGCAATACAATACAATACAATACAGTACAATACATACGATACATACCATACATACCATACATACGATACATACGATACATACGATACATACAATACATACAATACATTACATACAATACATAAAATACATTGCATACAATACATACAATACAAGACAATACAGTACAGTACAGTACAATACAATACCATACATACAATATATACAATACATACAATACATACAATACATACAATACATACAATACATACAATACCATACAATTACAATACCATACGATACCATACAATACCATACAATACCATACAATACCATACAATACCATACAATGCCATACAATACCATACCATGCATACCATACATACAATACATACAATACATACAATACATACAATACATACAATACAAACCAATACAATCAATACAACCAATACAACCAATACAATCAATACAATCAATACAATCAATACAATCAATACAATCAATACAATCAATACAATCAATACAATCAATACAATCAATACAATCAATACAATCAATACAATCAGTACAATCAATACAATCAATACAACCAATACAATCAATGCAATCAATACAATCAATACAATCAATACAATCAATACAATCATTACAATCAATACAATCAATACAATCAATACAATCAATACAATGAATACAATCAATACAATCAATACAATCAATACAATCAATACATACATAATATGCATAACATACATAACATACATAACATACATAACATACATACATACATACGTACGTACGTACATACACACATACACACGCACATACACACATGCACACATACACACATACACACATGCACACACACACACACATATATATATATCATATATCATATTAATCCTGTATCATCATTTATCATATATCATATGCCATGTATTATACATGATATATCATATATCATTTTTCATATATCATATATTTTATTTCATATAATATATATCACACACACACATATATATATATATCATATATATATACAGTATATATATTATATATACAGTATATATATATATTATATACAGTATATATATATCCATTTATATCATATATGTATATATGTATATATGTATATGTTCATCCTCACTGAAGGATTTGGAATCCGTCGAGCATGTGGAGATCATCTTGGATTAAGCGAAACAGAAATTCGCCGCAAACCTAGCCGCTGACATTTGAGTTTTGGAACTCTCAGCTAATTCCATGTATTTCCATGCGGCAGTATGAAATAAAAATCCAAAAACGGTTTGGGGGGGTCAGCATTTCCTGTGTTAACTCTTTGTGTTCGTAGTCCAGCCGTTCCACAGATGGAAAATAGTGAACACTGACAGAGGATCGCCGCCCCTTGGCTCGCCACAAATCAGAAATCCCAAAAGCCTGGCATTACAAAGTTGCACCAACTTTTTTCCAGAGAGTGCCTCAAGTTGCTACTTGCCACGGTTTTGATTGCTATTCTTCCCATAAAGGGCCCAGATCTGCACATCAGCGATTACTTTGATTCAGTGCTTCTCGTCGGTCGGCGCCTTTTGCAGCCGCCCACCCCGTCCAAGCAGCCTGCCAAAGAGTGCAGCCATGCAGCCGGGGGAGAGCATCGTGCCAGTGCTTCATGTTTGTGTGATGGGAGCCCCACAGAGTGGCAAGACCTGCACCTGGCCTGAAATTTGCAGCAAATTTTTCCGAATTTCAATACTCGTCCTGGCTTGAAAATGCTTTCTAGGAAGGAGGATTGATGCGATTCATGTGCACATCGCATTCCGCTTCGCAGAGTTCCGGCGCTAAGGTCTTATCAACTCCTGGGTCAACAACATCGCACCAAGCGTTCCTAGAAGCATTCTGTCAGGGATGTTAAAGCTCCCAACCCATGGAGCAACTCACAACACAGCGAGATCCGGATCCACGTTTGCCTGAATACAAGTCTGAATTGCAACACACCCATTGCCTCCCCAAATGCCTAAGCTGTCGCCTACTTTTAAGGTTTATGTCAAAACCACCGAGCCGTTTCTTGGCCGCAGTCTGATACATGAAAAGTTGGTTTGGGATGCGCCTCATTCTTTGTGGGGGAACCAGCTCTCCGGGTTTGCAAGGACCAGCTACTACAAATCGATGCTGCTACCCAATGCTCTTCATGATGGTCTTGCGACTGCAATGAGACTTGCTAGCTCATGATCTAATCCAGCTTTTATTATTTCATAGGCCGGAAGGGCTACAGGCTCACTCGTTTGGTGGCTTTGTTTAGTCAAAGGACGCCTGTGCCATAGCCTTCCTGCTGGCTTGCTAGTTTGCCTTGAAGAAACAGCTCAGCAAAACTACGCAACTCACTGAAGGCAGTTAACTGGAAGTCAGGAAGACCTACTGCTGCGCCCTTTCTCTTCAGGTGAAGCAATTACCACTCTGGTTGAGGTTGAGGAAGCAGCGTGGCCGGAGGTGAGGTTTGAAGTATTCTGCAGTCTTCCACCGTGTTTCGGGTGTCACCCACTACAACAGACAGACGCATACACATGAGTTAAAATTCTAATTCAAGATGGAGGCCGCAGGCTTCTTCTTGGCACCCAAAATTGCTGCAACACGCATCACTCCTGGCTCCAGCTTGATCCCAGAGGACAAAGAGGGATGTGAAGTGGACGCAGTCGACTATGCCAAGAAGCTGCTTGACTGCCTATACAATATTGCAATGCTGTGCAGTGCAATGTAATGTAATGTAATGTAATGCAATGCAATGCATGTGATCATGCATTTATATATTTATATATGCTGCATGCTTTTATTCTTTCTCTCCTCTCTCTCTCTGTATATGTCTACCTACATAGACAGATGTATACACGTAGTTGCGCAGTGGTTCCAGTGGATCCAGAGATCTTTTTTCAACAGGCTTATTTCTCTGCGGAGAGGAGAATGCACAAATCACGCGCACTCTGCTGAAACTGACTCAATACTTCTTGTTCCATGGACTTCCGATCCGATCCGATACTATCTATCTATCTCCTTTCTCATGAAGAAGCAGGTGGCAAACGGGCATACCAGCATTACCAACTCATACCATGGCATAGAGTGAGCTGCACAAGCTCTCTGTGCGGTGCTCAGGTTCCAAGAAGCTGAAGCACGATCTGATGGTGTCATGGCTTCCTACACGTGGCACGGCTGCAATGTTGACTGTGCACAGCTACGCTTTGGACGGATTTATGATTTATGCACAGATTTGCAGACTTCTTAAAACTTCTTCAATTTCAATCGAAAGTGACTGGAAATACAAACCAGGACAAGAGCAGTTCGCACCGTGATGGCCTTGAGATGACTTGAGTCAACTGTGCTGCAGGCATCCCATGACAGACTTTACGCCAGAAGCCACGAGCCGAGTCGAAGGTGAAGCCAAATGTTGCCGCCTTTGATGGCTCCAGAATCTACCTATAGTTCCTCCTTTCACAGACCTTGGCCACTTGGGCACAGGGGATGCTAACTTGCATTGAGGCACCTGTTCGCCTGGCAAGGAGTCGGATGAGCTACTTGGCAAGACATTGCAAATATTGCAGGACAAACTGGTGGAGACAACGGAGACAACCTCAATCTTTCGACAGCGTTTGTCCATAGACATCCATAGACCTTTTGGATTCTGAGAGGCTTCATCGTCCTGTTTGATATCACATCCAAAGAGTCCACAGACAAGGCACTGCAGATAATAGAGGACTGACGTCATCTCGAGACTTCCAGGGTTTGTCTCGGCTCTGACGTGGCACTCTTCAATGACTCATTGTGACAACGTTAAAAGCCCAGCTTCCAGGAAATGAGGTCAAACAAAAAGAGTGGCTTCAAGAGTGGCGGCTTGGTGAAATCTACAGCCAACATCGTGTTGATCAAATTAGGTGATGGAGGAACTGTCGAGCAGCGTTTATTTATCGAAAAATCTTGCTCAATTGCAGGATTCTTCTGGATATGTGCCTTTTTGATATAGTCATTAGTGTAATTATATAACAAATAGTTATGTGTGTATCGTCGTATATCATATATCTATATATGATTCATGATTTCTTGCGTTTGCAGCGAACGACTTTGTGGGCGGAGCAGCCCAGGAATGAAAGTGCGCCTAGTTGCAAACAAAGTTGATTTGGAAGCCACTGCAGATCAAGAAGTGGTTGAGGCTGCTTGGCAGATATGAAGATTAACTGCTATCACAAGAGGATGGCAAGCATTTTTTGCTTGCATTGGATCCGCACCGTAGGACAACCGTACTACGGCGCTACTTGGCTATTGCGAAGAATCAGCGGAAATCACGGGATTTGCGTGAATTTTCAGAAATTGCCGGCCCTTCTTTGTAAGATTTGACATTTGCCAAGTATTCTTCCCCTCCCATGATGTGATCACCAAGTGCTGAGTCCAGTTGCTGCCGCCAAGGGAGCGTCAGTGCTGGGACACAGTTGGGCGCTGACCTCAATACGTTTGCATTTTGATGCTAAAGGCCGATTTGTTGGGCGCTGACACATCTGACACATGAATCGCCAGGAGATTGTCTGCAGGTCCAATAGGTTCAATAGGATCAATATGGATCAATGTGCCGATCCCTCTAGGATGGATTTCCGAGAGGTGTCGGCAGTGGAGTTCAGAGGTGTACGAGAATCTTTGCTTTTGCTTCAGCGGGCGGCTGTTTTTCTTCTGTGGGACTTTGGGATGTGCCCAAAAAATCCCAAAATGTTAAGAATCTCAAACAAATGATTCATTCTGCATGTCATTTTTGCATCACATCAACTGCAATTGAGTTACCAAAAAGCTTCGCAGAACAGATGGGAGGTCATACGCTTTCAACAGAGCCAGCTGTAAGGACCTCTTCCAGGACTTGTTGGAAGAGACCATGGAAATGCTGCTTGGATGACTTATATAGCCTGATGACCATTGTGACCCCAGCGAATGATATTTCTAGCCGAGGACTGAACAGTGGGCCACATCTGCCATGAAACGGCAGACCGAGGAGCGCCAGTCAACTGAGTCAGCAGGGTCATGCAAGGCACGTCATGACACTCTTGTAAAGTGAGCAATGGCAGTATTGGAAGTGGGAGATTTATCTTGGAACTCGAGCGTATTTTTCAGCCGAACGTGGTGGAATTGACCGGTGCAGTGCAGGAGCGTAAAAAGATTCTGAAAGGAAAGAATGATTGCAATGTCATGTGAAATTGGCCAAGGAGGGCTGACCTCCATAAGTTGAGGCAGCTCCCTTCTTATGGCAGTCGAGATGGGGAGCCAGTGCACTTTCTGAGTCTATTCGGTTCTCATCCTCTTTCTGACCTTGGGAAACTATGGATCCTGTAGATGGCAGCTGCAGCAGAAACTTGCTGCTCTGCAGCCCAAAGCCCAACCACTCCTTTCCTTTCAAAAAAGAATGCGCCAAAAATGACGGATGAGCATATCGTGTGCAGCCTGTCATGCTTGGACCACTCAGATTTGCAAAAGCACCTTCCAGTCCAACTGAAACGTAGCACTGACATGAGCAAGGCGCATTTGGCCGCAAGCTGCACCCAAAATATCAAGGCGCATGGAGATAGCTGGAGCCCAAAGTTGTCATTTGCTTGTGCCATTCTTTCTCCAATGCTGATGTTTGGTATGTCAAGTGGGCCATGTACTTTCCATTTGTTGCTTGCACACCCCTTGCTGGATCTCGTAGCCGGCTTTAAGAAGCGACTTTCCTGGCAAGCCTGTGCCGCCCCGTGGCAACTGCTTCAGCTCGTATATTATATGTATATATGAATATGCGCATATATTTATTTGTATCATTGTGCGGTGTGTTTACGCCCCAGGTCAGATATATCAGATAGATTCAGATAGACACTTGCCGTGATTCTGCGCGGTAAACTGAAAGAAATTGTTCCTGGATGTTCCTGGGATCGCTTCAGTTAGTTAGTTAGGGTTGCTTCGCCCGTTTGACAAGCTATAATAAGATAATGATGTTTGCTAAAGTTGCTCCAAGGTCGCCTGACGTTGGCCATGCACAACGCTGAAGAGCTGGCCGTCCAGGTCGGGAGCTGCTTCAGAACCTTTGCGCGAGCGATTCTAGCTGGGATCCGGGCGGAAAGGTGAGACACACAAACATGACACAAAAATGAGGGACATGGACAGCAACTGCAGGTCAGAACTCTCTTGAATCTTGATCCACTATGATCCACTTACTGTAAACTGTAAACGTATCACGAAAGATTGCCTTGGCAGGAGTTCGGGGTCAACGAATCAGTGCCCAGTCCATTCTTCCACCATATTGGCAGGTTTCCAAGCCTCTCAGATGTAGTGTAGCCGTGTAGCCGCTGTCCAGGTTATGATTGCACGGTCGCTCGGGGCCTCATTTCTTTTTTCATCTTTTTTCCCTCCCAAACTTTGCTTTCGGAAACGGTTTCATGAGGAGCTCAGCGGCTCGCTTTTGGCACTTTGACCCTTTTTTGCGATGTTATGGCATGGGTACGTACTATATTCTGGGGGCATCTGCAAATTTCGGAAACCCCCGAAAGGCAATAATATGTCTTTTCCATTCTTTTCCCTTGAAAGGAAGCCTTTGGTCCAAGACACTGTAGACAGGAGTGTGCAACACAAGCTATAGCAGCCATCCTCAGTTTAGTTCCCTGCTGGTACTTCCTACTCTGTGAGCTGAGTGCTGCTTCCATGGAACATGCGATCATGAAGCATACCTCAGCATACCTCTACCATCCTCTACTGAGAGCAAGTTACACTCAAATTCAGACAGATCACCAATACATCATTTGATATCCATATAGTTTTCAACTCCAACAGGCGTCCCTCAAACAACATTTCCCTTGGTTGCTTGGTCGATGTCGATCCAGGGCGCGCACAGGCGCCTTGCTGCAAGACTGCTGCCACTTTTTGACTCCGAAAGACAAGAATGTAGGAAAATTGACGCATCATTGCCGCAGCATTATTCAAAAACAGGCTGCAGGACTTGTACTCTATCACCTTTTTGAACTGAGCAACAGACCTCATAGCATTTTGCTCGCCAAGGTGTTCTTGAAACTGGATCCGCAGCCGTCTAATATTTCCTTTTGCTTCCCAACATTGGGAATCTCTGTGAACTTGTTGGGTACCCAAATTCCTAAATCAAGGTTTTCGTCCGCATTTTCTTGACAGAAGAATGTGCGGACAGATGGCTGCAAAGCAATGATGCCAAAGATTCATAATCATTCCAATTTGCATATAAATGGGGCATGCTCTGCTGTTTCATTATGGAGAAAATATGATAAACCCAGTGGGTTTTGCCGTGCTCTATTTTCAGAGAAACCCATTGGAACACTTTTGAACAGTTGGTCAGAATGCACTTGGTGAAGCCGTAAGCATCAGAAATGTGTATCGAAAGGCTGCGAAGTCCATGGGCGTCAACTGCAGCTGCGCGGAAGAACCACTAACCCAGGGTGCAAAGGCCAGCGATGACTCGTTCCGTCTCGTTTCCACGTTGTCTGGGTATTGCTGCTCTTGGTGCCACAGTGCCACCTATCATCAACCGGTCTTTGGGAAAGAACCTCTCTGGGTGTCCATTTTGTGACGGTCGGGGGTTCGCTTGGAGCGCCGGAAAGTGGATAACTTCGAGCGCCGGAAAGTGGATCGCTTGGAACGCCGAAAAGTGACACGTACAGACACATAAGAGATACATAGCGCTATGGCTACATATAGACACAGAGACATAGACACATAAATGGACACATTCATACACACTGAAGCACTGAGGCACGCACGTAGTGACATTGATAGATGCACGCAGGTACACATTCCAGGCGATCCGCCTTCCGGTCCGAAATCAACCAGTAGTCCCTCCAAGTAACCGAACCCGTGTCCCAGTCCCGTGTCCCCAAGTTAAGCCCTGAAGGTCTGATTCTCTGGTTCTGACCCACCATGCTTGTCGCCTAAACCCACCCATGTCCCAGTCCCAGCCACCCTGTCCGTTAAACCCACCCCATGTCCCAGTCCCAGCCACCTGTCCCTGAAACCCACCCCATGTTTTAGCCCGGTGTCCCCGCTTGTCCCAGCCCCCTGTCCTCAAGTTAAACCCTAAAGGTCTCATTCTCTGGTGCTCTAAGTGATCCACTTTTTGGTGCTCTAAGTGGTCCCATGGTTCTCTAAGTGATCTCGTGCTCTAAGTGATCCGCTTTCCGGTGCTCTAAGTGATCCCTTAACCTTTTGGGACCCCATCCGCTTTCATTCCCTATTGATGCTTTACAGTACACATTTTACACACTGTGTCAATGCTGATGCTAACATCCTGCCCAAGGCAGCGCCTTCGCAAAAAATCATCCCGTGAATCTTTTTCCAGCTCTACCCCTGGCCAGGGTGGAAAGAATGAGCCAGAGTCGGACGATGTTAAGCAACGAAACGACGAGGCGACATTTTGGGAGTGGTAAGTTATGCCAGTTATGCGAAGGTATGGCAAATTATGGCAACAGGGGCAACTCATGGAAACTCGTCCTTCACCTGCGTTGCTACGGCAGGCCATTCACGAGCTCAATCTCGTGCCGACTGTTCATATTTTGCAGGCGGTGGAGAATCAGAAGCAGGCCAGGTATGACCAGGTCTTATCAAGGTTGTGTAAGTTGCATCATGCTGAAATGATGATGCACTTTCATGCACTTTCAATATCCTTCAATCACTTTGATGCTGCATATGTTGCATCATATGATATCATATGGCAATCACGTTAAATCAAGTTGAATATTTCTTGGAGTGGGGATCCGCGTGACTGCAAAGAGATCAGACTCTCGTGCAGGAAACTTTTGAGAAAAAGGCGGGCGAAACGCGTTCGATGGCGTTGGGCCTGTCAACCGTTGACAAACGGGCGTCGTTTAATTTCTTGGGCACTTATTTGGCCAATTTAGATTCTAGATGGTCGAGTAGATAGGATGCCCGCTGTCGGCTGTCGGGCAACCTTACAACGCCATCTTATGCCTTTGGATTGTATACTTGGTTGGATCATGTTGGATCATTGTGTGATCATGTCATTTCTAGGATTCGCCTCTATATATATATTATATACATACAGATATACATAATATCCCCTGGCCAGTTTCCACTACAAAATTGGAGCACCCGGGTGTTCTATAGCTTTTATTTACACATGGGTAAGTGAGTTTTGGGTGTTCATTTGGAACTAGTTTCTCTGGAACTGTTAGGGCAACCAAAAGTGCTGGAACTGTACATTTTGAACCGATTTCCAAGGATTCTGTTAGAAGACGACGATGATCATACCAATGATGTTGTTGTTGTTGTTGATGATGATGATGATGGTGATGGTGATGATGATGATGATGATGCTGATGATAATGATGATGTACGGTATGTTTGATATGTATGCTATGATTGGCATGTATGGTATGTATGGTATGTTTGGAATGTATGGTATGTATGGTATGCATGGCAGGTATGGTATGTATGGCATGTATGGTTGGTATTGTATGGATGGTAGGGGTGGTATGTAAGTATGTTGGGTATGGTATGTTTGATATGACGGTATGTATGGTGTGTATGGTCGGTCTGGCATGGCATGTTTGGAATGTATGGTATGTTTGGTATGTATGGTAGATATGGTATGTATGGCATGAAGGGTTGGTATTGTATGGGTGGTAGGTATGGTATGTAAGCCTGTTGGGTATATATATATATATAATGTAGTATGTTTGATATGACAGTATGTATGGTCTGTATGGTATGTATGGTTACTACGATGGGCATGGAATGTTTGGGTCTGTCAGAGGTACCCTATTCATTAAAAACAAGGTGGCAAGGGCGGTTGCTAATTTTAGTCAGTGGAGCTGATTCTCCCAGACTTGGGTGCCAACTTCGTTTTTGAAGCAAGGGGTGCCAATTTCATAATGATTTAATGGTGTACTGGTGTACTGTTTTTCTTGGGGAAGGTGCTAATAGAGTGGCCAAAAGTGCCATTGCCAAATTATACGCCTGGCAATCAAATTGGAGCACCCCAGATACCGAAGTGCCTGGAGGATTAATGTATACATTCATACGTATGTACGCACACACGCACATGCATTATATATATAATATATATATATATATATATAGTGCACATATTTTTACATAGTTGGAAACCAATCGATTGTATCCTGCCAGGAGCCTGACCGAGTGCCCTCTGACAAGCTGGCGCCGGCCAAAATAGACAGGGTAGAGAGCAACACAAGCATTGTGACAGACAACGAAGAAGTCAAATGCCAGAGGACGGGACGCCGGTCGAGGGTCGGAACCTTCGATTGTGAGTCCTTCATAAGAAAGGACTGACTACTGATTTCGCTCCAAATCCACTGTCCACATTTTGCAAGTCTCATCTCGACAGCTACTTCAGATTTTCACTTTGAGTGATGTCCACATTGAAGATTGGTGAAGTGTTGAGGCGGGACTACTTCCTTCAAATGACCCGAGACAGAGTGACATCAGCTCTCGGCACCATCATTGAAAACCCGAGTGACATCCAGGCTGGACGATGCTGGAAGCACATTTTGTTTCCCGGCTCTAAGCTTCCATTGGAAAGGAAGGGCCGAGAATGAGAACAGTATAGAATCAGTGATCCACTGCCATTGAAGATATTGAAGCACTCCTTGCAGGCTTTCTATACGCTCAAGGAGCCTTGGAGCTGACTGAAAGGATGAGTCACTAAGGTGGTTGGAGGTGGATCGAATCAAGATCTATTCAAGTCTATTTTAGATATTTTGAAGCAATTGTCAAGAAATGATGCGTTCTGCTCGGGACCGTCAGGACAAACTTGGGGCAGGGCAATTTGGCACTGTGAGCTATTTGTCTGCACATGTTTCATGCTGTTTCATTTGCTTGTTTCCAAGATGGACCAAGCAAAGCAGGCATAGCACAGAGATGTCAGATTGCTGAGGCACCGGTGTCATCACGGCAAATGGCGTCGAACGAGCGGTTCAAGCCTCGGTGTGTCAGCGCGCATCAGTGCGGAGCTGCGGAACCACGTTGCGAACTGGAGCCATTGGCGGTGCGCCTAGGTGAAACTCATCGCCAAAAAGGACCCGAGACTTGGCCCGAGACTTGCGCCACGCGAATCAACCCGTTTGCCAAACGGCACTCGGGGCCGACTCGGGGCTGTCATCTCGACTTGGTGCAGGACAATTACTCGGCACTGAAGGCTTTGAAAGCAGAAATCGTTGGAAACTCAGACCAGGCTCTACATTGACTGGAAAAGACTGGAGAATGGAGGGTTGGGGATGGGGATGTCAGTGCGGTGTTGAGGAGATAATGAAGATGTTGGACCACCCAAATCTGGTGGCCATCACCGTCGCTTGGTTCAAGTGAAAGATAGCTGACGTTTGCTGTCAGGTCTTTCAAATGCCTTTGTACGTGACAAGCTATTGCTGTTTCCGCGCTCGTTTCTGGCATTTTTTGTGGTAATGCTCAGGAAATTTTTGAAGACACGGATGCCGTCTACTTGGCGTCTCGGAATTTGCGACAAGTTTGCGCCGAGAAATGATGGACGTAGACCAAATATCTCCAAATATCATGTTCCGAATGATTCCGAATGTATATGGCATGGATGCAAAAGGCCGAAAGTTGTGGGGGCCAATTTTGTGAACTGTAAACTCTTGCCTTCGCACGTGTGTTTTGACCGGAAAATGAGCATAGCAATGGAACATTGTGATTTTCCATAGCTATGTTGAATTACCCTTGGGTCTTCTTCTAGTCCGCCATGGGAATTTGGGTCGTCATATCATCTCGCATCTAGCGAATCTAGCGCCGTCCAGGCTATGAAGCTGTGTAAAGGCTGGGTGGCCGGAGCATGCCAGCAGTTGCTACATTTGCCAGAGGTTTAGAGGTCAAGATGTTATTTGAACCTGATGTAGGCGGCCTCTTTCTCTCACATAGGTGCACACCTTCCGTCAGACCATGTGGCTTAGGATTGACATTTTTGAGCCCACTGAAAGCGTTTTTGTGTGACCGCGTTCGTCGCAGCAATGGGCTGACTGTGGTTGTGGACATGCGCCACCCTCTACGTCTCTCACTCTCACTCTCACTCTCACTCACTCAATCTTAATTTCTCTCACTCACTCACACTCACTCACACTCACTCTCACTCACTCTCACTCACTCACACTCACTCACACTCACTCTCACTCACTCTCACTCACACTCACTCACACTCACTCACACTCACTCACACTCACTCACACTCACTCGCACTCACTCACACTCACTCACACTCACTCACACTCACTCACACGGCAGACACAGACCTTGGTTTTCAACGTCATCCAGGCCTTGAAGTGGATTGGATGTTGGGGGAAGCAGGTAGAATGATCAGGGCCGCAGAGGAGATCAAACCATGGAGGACACCAGGTTTGCAGGACGAACCTGCTCGACCAACTGTTCCCCGCCGCTTTTCCGTGGACATCGAGTACGTCGTTTGAATCGGGCTTCCTTCAAACTGGCCGTGGTTTCTTCGCACAAGATGCCAATGAGGAAGCAATGAGAGTACTGACTGTCCGACATACTCTTGGGATGAGCCAGCTGTTGAACAATCACACTAGTTTGCTGCTGGGAAATGAATCCTACATCATCAACGGTGGCGATTTGCCAATAAGAAACTACCCTTCTTTGGCCAACAGCAATTTGTTGATTTGTTCGCTTGGGCAGCAAACCCCGCCGTCTCGAGATACACGGGAGACTTGCTTTCAACGAATCAGACGAGAATCAGCTGGTGTGCAGCTGGAAACACTCCAGTTGAGTTGAATGTGACCCTTTCCAGGAGTGGAACAACCTTCAACTTCACCTACCAGTTTGACCGCTTAAAGCTTGGAAGTGAGGTACCAGAGCAGCTTTTGCAAAAGCCTCAGATTTGTGACTCATTTGCTCCTGCTTGTGAAAATGGCCGTGGGCTGGATCCGGTTCCATTGGATGCATATATATATTCCATCCAGGTATGTCGGTTGAAGACTACAACATTGAGGACCAAAATGTTGCAGATCTCGCAGGAGACGCAGCCTTCATTTGTATGGACTGGCTCTTCCATGAGTCCCCCCGACTTGATCACAACTACACCTTGATCTCACGCTATAGCTTGGAAATTAGCCCCGCATTTGGACAGTACCGGCCATGCAATGGCTACCCAGACACCATCCCACCTGACCCTTCATGTGTTCCCGGGGATCCACGTTTGGTGGGCAGGGAAGCTCCATTTTCTGCTGGCGAAGGTGAGCTAAGGTGTGCAGGGAGTCCTTTAGGCTTTTGGTATCAGCTGCCGAAAGGTGGTCGTTGCTCTACTGGACACAGACCAAGCAAGGAAGCTTGGGCTACTGGCTGTACCTGGTCTGTGCAGAAGCGCTTGAAGACCATTCAACAGGCCTGCTTGCTTAGAAATCACAATTTCCTTCAGTACTGTAAGGCTGACGTCCTCGAAGATAAAGGCTTTGGCAGGAGCATGAAAGCTTTAGAGGCTGCCTTCGCCTCTGAGGATTCATCCTTGGGTGGATGTGCTGATGTTGGTGAACCTGTTGCTCAGGACAGCGAGTCCATGGTGGTAGTTTGATCAACTTTGATATATAATATATAATTATATATATAATATGATACAATATAATATAAAAATATAATATACAATATTACTTTGATATACTTTTGCAATCTTGTTATCTATCTTGTTTAGTTGCCCTGGCTTGAGCTCTTCATAGTCTGAGCAAAAGTGCTCAGACTTGCAGCATCCTGCGCTGTCTTGATTGCGCCTAGGCATCGAATCTAATAAAGTTCTTTTTCAAAAGCCCTGCGCTGGCAGACTGGAATGCAAGAGTAGGTACGGTGCCAAGGCATTTTGGCCGCTCGACAGGCGCAGAATGTATCTGTTTGACAAGTAGCATCTCCGTCTAAGGAGGCTTTTCATGCCTCAGGCTCTTGCAAGGCGCAAGCAGATCATCCCGCCAAATTGAAATTGAATGAAATTGATGGGAAGAGGAGCCATATGGAGCCATGATAGTGATCAATCATGTGCTATGACCTGATGCTTTCTCGACAAGGACCAAAAAGGATTGCAGACATCGCTTGACTCTGATCACGGCAGAGAACCTTTCACCAGATTGCAATAAAATACTTGTGAACACAGAGAAGACCAGCAGACTTGGTCTGAAGGCGATGGAGAGAGAGAGGGAGAGAGAGAGAAGACCAGCAGATCGGCGAACCAAATTGATTACCAATGATTACCATGTGGCTGTCCATGGACAGAAATGTTGAGAAGACATGGCCAATTCTTTTTCACAAGACATCTATGTTTTGAACTGTTTTGATACGACCATTCCACTACAACACACACAGACAGCACTGAGTTCCTTTCACTACTCAAGTTCAATCGCTTTGTCACAGTCTAGCGGCAAGCGTTACTTCTGTTTCATGAAGTAGTATGTTCTCTGCATGTCATCCGCCTTCCTTGTACATATCGATTTTAGATTCAGTTTTTTTCAGCTGTCGAGACTTCGCCAGTTGGTGGTTAAGATTCGACGATGACGGAAATCACGCTTTGTTTCCATTCTGAATTCAGCTGGTGGAGCTGACAGATCTGGCAGGCTCGCACCTAACTCTCTATGTGGACAGAGTAGCTAGCTTGAGTGAGAAGCAGTGCCTTGCCCCGCAGCCTGAGACGCTCCAAACCGCCAAGCAATGGAATTTTCTCATCATTTCATTCGTGTGTCGGGCCTGTAGGGCTTCTAGTTTTCTTTGATCACATTCATTGACACGATTACTAATGCTAAAGACATCTAAAGACCCTTCCTGCCACCTCTCGACGAACAGTGCAGCCAAGAAGTTCAGCCTGCGCTAAGGGCAGCATTCGTGATGCGAGATCTATTCCGTGCGGTGGCGTACATGCACAACTCGGGAGTTTCATGGTCAAGATTGAGTGACTACGGCGGGTCGCAAGCATTTTGCAGTCTTGAAGCGGTATCATTTCGTATCCAGCTGTTTCATGGGAGAGGTTCAAAGAAAACACTCTGCATCACAGCAGAGCAGACAAGCTATTGCACTTCCATTGAATGACATTGTCTTTTGCCACGTGTTCATACTTTGTTCTAGAGTTCCATGAGAGTGAAGTCTGAAGCAAGCAGGCTACAGGCATTGCATGTTTTACCATGTTTTACCATGTTTTACCAATGAAATCCATTATATGACATGTATGCTGAATTGAGCCGTACTCAGCGTACTCAGCTCTGTCAGTGGGTCAGTGCTTCTTGGACCAAGGTAGCCCATCGCAACTTAACTTGCAGTTTCTGGGAATGGGTTGTTTGCCAAAGCCGCAGTCCTTTCAAAAGCAGAATACGGACTTTGTGAAAATATGCCGGTATGAAAAATACATGAGAAAGGGTCAAAAGATGGTATGCAGGTATGTTCATATAGCCCGCCGTCACTTCGCCAATGTGTGATTTACGTTGATTTACTGCGAGAAGCGGTAGGGCGCTTTCAAAAGCGACACCATCCCGAAACATGGAGCTCCCAGTGTGTGGTACAATAGGGACCTTGAGGAGCGATACCCACAATTGATGACCATAGAACTAGTACCATGTTTTTACATGGCACACGTATGACAAGATGTTATGTAATATCAAGATAATGTTTCATGACACACATGCTTTACAACAATGCACTTTCATAATGAAGAGACAGACACATGCACAGACACCCAAGCTCCGTTGTAGGTGTTTATCTGTCTTTCAATCCACCTTGAACCAGTCAAATGTGCATGTCAACCGGTGTTATACGATATAATATATAATATGTATTCACATATGTATTTGTTTGTTATTGTTTTTCTATTTAATATATGTGCACCTGTATGCCTGTATATATATATATATACGTATATGCAACTATATGTGCATACATTCGCACACGCATTATATATATATATATAATATGTACATGTAGTATACATGACCCGTACATCTACTTCCGCTACAGTATATCGTTTGTTGTTGGAATGACCTTGAGGCAGCATGATTCAGTCTTCTTGTCGTTTTTAGCAGTTCCAGAGGCAAACAGCATGGCATCCATGCGCAAGCTGAGGTGATTTGAAGGGCGAGAACTGCCTCATGTTGACGCAAGCGCCGCCGGAGAGGACACTTGGCTGTCCCCTTTAGTCTGCACGGACAGGGGGCCAGTGTCCTCGGACCAAATCTAGGTTGCTTTGAATTGGGTGGAGACCTGTACAAGAAACGGTCCAAATCATTCTGTGGCTAAACGTGGCAATACGCAGTTATTATATCATACTATATCATACTACATCATACTATATCATACTATATCATACTATATTATAATATATATACGTATATATATATATATTACTATCTGTATCATTTATTTGGAGTCCCTGCGTTAAGGCAGTTCCATTCAGCTTCCGGTGCTTTCTGGATCCACAATTCTTGGGCCAGGAATCGCCTAAAACTCTGCGATTTCGGGTTGTGACTGGACTGCATCTTGGGATGGCACAGTTGATGGATCTCAGCCTTGGTACCATGACAAACGACAAAAATATGGCAAATATCTGCAAGACATGGAATGTTTAGGGATGTCCAAAGACGATTAGGGACGGCGAAATTCATGTATTTTGTAATTACATATGATTACCCCATCAACAGTGAATTAGAATTTAGAATCGTTTTCTTCCCCGTGAGAAGCATTTTTTTTCAAATTTCCAGTCAGCTTGGTGCCGTCCATCCGTTTCATGCACTCAGGTCCACAACGTTTGAACCGGGTAGCTCGGCCAAAAGCGTGGTAGCTGTTTGAAGCTGTTTGCGTCTAGTCACGTCTAGAATCACAGAATATTTTTTCTCACTGAGGGAGAAAAATCCCCTCACCAATCAGTACCTGAGGAGTTTACATCCACCTGTTTTGGACACTGCTAATGTGATTTTTCACCGAGCCAGCTTGTGGCCTGTGGCAGAGGCTTGCCGTCCGAGGCAAGCCTTTGAGAGGACGAGTTGGTTCAGTGACCCATATTGCCCCAGAGGTGCTGACCAGCAACTTGGACACTGAGGGGATGTCTTTGTGATCTGCTTTCCTGTATAAGATTCCCCCTGTCATAGTGTAAGATCCCCTTGTCATCCTTGCTACAAACATCTTTTAAATACTTTTAACTCATCTCGATCATCTCGTAACAATGCGGTGAGAGAGAGAGAGAGAGAGAGATAGAGAGAGAGAGTTCGCAGCTTCAAAACTCATTTCTCTTCAACCTTTTTGTAAGCGGACATAAGAGAGCAATGGCAGTAATATTGCATGAAGACTTTCATTTTAAGATGATATATTGTTCTGTTGTTTGCTTTGCCCTAGGCTCTGAGAGCTACACATGCGCCATTGACAATTGGAGCGGCGGACTTAGTTCTCTCTGGAGATGTTCTACCGGATTATATAGGCTTTGAGGGTTTTCAATCTATTCCAGACATTTCTTTTTCGAGATGATTCATTACAACCCTGTGCCTTGTCCGTGCCCTTCAGATATGAATGGTTGCGAATGCTTTCTGATTCCAACAGTCCAATATTATAATATGCAAAACAGATATTCCACTACTATTCCTTTCTGGACGTTGCCTTCCCATGGCAGCTGGAAAGTTGGCTGTACATGCCCCTTTAAGGCGCCGGCATCATCTTCTATCACGTAATCTGCGGCTTTTTGCCTTTTCAGGACTGTGTCACATTGTGTCACCAAAGCCTCCCTGGGATCTGGGGCCATCAATGCTGAAAATGACATTTGTAAAGGAAGAGAAGGATGTGCTGAATGGCCGTCTCTCCTTCGCTGATCGACACTGGTGTATCTTGGCGGTCTTGGCGGAACATTTTTGGATGTTGATCTATCTGCTTGCGAGTTCGATTCGATAAAATTATTGAGATCTGTGAGGCAAATGATGGGAGACTTTCAATCTAGAAGTGTAAGATGACACAGGTGTACATAGTTTAAAACAACACATGAAAAAACAATCACATTTGCAAAAGGGAACTGCAAAAGGAGGGAGGGAGGGAGGGAGGGAGAGAGAGAGAGCCAGAGAGAGAGAGAGAGAGAGAGAGAGAGAGCGAGAGAGCGAGAGAGCGAGAGAGCGAGAGCGAGAGCGAGAGCCAGAGCCAGAGAGAGTTAGAGAGACAAGAATCTTTGTAGCCAGCAGCCCGTTGCATGCACAGATCCACAGACTGATCTGACAGACGTTGACTTCTGAGTCGTGAGTCTTTTCTTCTTTCATAGCTTGGCTCCAGCCGCCATGCCTAGGTGATGTCTCCGAAGGCCAGGGGCCAAAGCAGTGTCCACTCAAACTGCAAGATAGATACATTATTTGCAATGGGTCCATAGGTGGACCAGCATGGTACACTGACATCCCCCAAAGGCAGTTAGATCATAGGAGATACTTGGGCTCATTGTTGGATGCTACCATACATCAGAAGCATCAACGCGAACCCATGGTCAGAGTTTTTGTGCAAATGCTTCCTGCCCTGCCAGAATGCTGCAGCGGGGGGCCTCGGGGACAGCTGCACAGCTGGGTACTGCCTTTGAAGCACTGGGATCGTACCACACACACACAGACACACTTGGGCAGACAAGTCAAAGTAGAGGACCAACCAGAACATCACAAACTGCTAATTCCCAACAGCGAATCTATTGGGTTTCAATCTCTGGGGCCGGGGACTGGTGACACAAAAATGCACGCCCCGAAAAACCGGAACAGTCCTGGAACCTTGCTGGAACCTTTCGCTGTTGGGTTGCAAAGCTGGGCTAATTGTGGTCTGTGCTGAATGACTCATTCTATAGTGCCATTTGCTCTTTGATTTGCTGCTAAGGACTCGTTTCAAGTTTTGTTGAGAGGGATGCTGAGTGGGAGCCCGAGGGGGATGCCAGGAATTCCTAACTTTGAGCAAGGAGTCCCTCAAGGGCTTTGAGCATGTTTTGGCATTCCAATATTTCCGCATTTCGCAACCTGCGGCCATATTGTCCATGTTCCACAATCACAATGTGCGCAGCTTTCCCTGCTCAAGCTACTGTGCTTGCAGCTATGATTGCCTAAAAAGTTCACAGTTTAGCCCGCCAGGCTTGTCCATATTTGTTAGGTGAGTATTGGATTCAGATTTTGATTTTGGATTTTGGATTGTGGCGATTTCTTTTCAGTCACTGACCCCTTCCATACCCTTTGAACATATTGCAACCTGATTTCATAGGGAAGAAACATACACACCGCACCGACCCAAGCGAGAACATGTCAAGATGCAGAGGCTGCCGGATATCGGGTGGATTTTGGAACATGATCTCAGTTCCCACAGGGCAAGTGCCATTGGAACATCTGCCTCTTTGCGCTCTTGTCAGTTGTATAGTTATATAGCGATGGACAATTCCTCATCAGTAGATTTATTCTTCTTTTCAAATTGGGGATGGGTGAGTTCCCCCCCTTGTCATCTTATATAGATTGCCAGGAGATTACATCCAGTGACAAATGTGGCACTGCCAGATGATCGGGATGGTTCTGAATCGCCAACCCCGGAGTGGCGACGACCGCGAGGCGCCATGTCAGACATAAGATCCACGGTTTTGAATCTTTGAAGATATTAACAATAGGACATTAAGAAACAAGTGGTTTATCAGTGTTTATCAATGTTTATCATCATTTTCATCATAAGACAGCCAGCTGGGGTATGGTCCGCCATTATTGCACACCCTTTCAATCTTGACATTTGCACAGCCCCTGCTGCCTGCTGAGGTCCTGAGTCTCGCGAGGAGCAAAGACCGTCTCAAATCATCTCGAATCACAGAATTGAGCGGTAAGTGCTGGATAGTGCTGGATTCTCACTTAGGGAGAGAACTTGCAAAGTGAACGGTCAGCACAAGTCAAAGTGCCTAATATCCGGAGAACGTGCAGGAGGAAGTGGAGACAGCCGACTTCGGAGAGGAGGCTTGCAGGGATATTGTGGCTTCATGGCTTGGTGTAATATGGATGAAAAGATTGAAAAGAGAGAGGTTAGTTGTCAACTTGAGTTTAGGTGCTCTGTGATATTCTGTGATGGGTTCATGTTCTTTCGCCTTCCTTTTCTGCTTTGGTCCAGAACTATCGAAGCAAGAGCCGCCGCAAGGAGAGCTGACGCGACAATGCCACTGTGATTTTGCGTGTATCAACTGAAAGAAGGGATAGGTAATCACGAAAGGTAGCTCCAGAGGGGCTACCTTGAGTTTTACTTTACGAAGTAAAGGGGAGGGCGGCCAGCCCCGTTACCTGATTCTTCAGGAGATTGCTAGTCATTTTAGTACCCCCCCCCCGTGCCATTGACGGTTGGCGTCGATTTTGCGGCACCACTTCTTGTGCATGTAGGCAGGGTGGAATGGGTTAAGGTGTCTCGATACATTTAGCTGTAACCTGCAACTCTCTTTATACTGGCAATACTGCATAGGATTTATCTCCGGCGCCAAGCGCCACTTTCAGAGCATGGGTGCTTTGCATTGTGGCGCGCCTGGTCCATCGGCCTGACCATCGACCTGTCCATCGGCCTCATCGGCTCCATCGGCTCCATCGGCCCCAGCGGCTCCATCGGCCTCATCGGCTCCAGCGGCTTGAGCGCCCTCATCGGCTCCATCGGCCTCATCGGCTCCAGCGGCTTGAGCGGCTCCATCGGCCTCATCGTCCTCATCGGCCTCAGCGGCTCCATCGGCCTCATCGGCTCCATCGGCCTCATCGGCTCCATCGGCCTCATCGGCCTCATCGGCCTCATCGGCCTCATCGGCGTCATCGGCTCCAGCGGCTCCATCGGCCTCATCGGCCTCATCGGCGTCATCGGCTGCAGCGGCTCCATCGGCTCCAGCGGCTCCATCGGCCTCATCGGCTCCAGCGGCCTCATCGGCTCCATTGGCCTCATCGGCCTCATCGGCTCCATCGTCCTCAGCGGCTCCAGCGGTCTCATCGGCTCAATTGGCCTGATCGGCGCCAGCGGTTCCAGCGGCTTCATCGGCATGTCTTTCTGGAAAGCCTATTACGGCCCGAAGCAGGCGGAATCAGTTGCGTCCATTTTGCGCCTATGGTTTGCTTCGCTGCCTTTTGATTAGTATTGATCCATAGCCTCTTGGCTTGCGATATAGCCTCCAAGTGTCGAACGTACGGCCCCCCCCACCCCCCCTCCACACCTCCCACGCACCCTAAGAGCAGACTCAAAACACTGTAATTTACAGTATTTTTGTTCTTTTCGGATCAAGAAACCACATTTTGCTACATGGTGAAACCTCCGTAAATACCAGTGTTTTTGCTAGGTGCTGGCCAAAAAACACTGTAAATACCGTGCTTTTTACTACTAGAGGCAAAAAACATCGTAAATACCGTGGTTTTGGGCTTCCGACCCGCCAAAAACATTGGTATTTACGGTGTTTTTTTGCTCCGAGAGATGCAAAAACACGCGAAAACACCACCGATTTGACGATTTTCGGCCACTACGGAACCGAGCAAAAACGCTGCAGGGGTAACACCAACACCAACAAGAACAACACCAACAGCAACAGCAACAACAACAACGACAACAACAACAACAACAACACCAACACACAACGCACAACGCACAACGCACAAAGCACAACGCACAACGCACAACGCACAACGCACAACGCACATCACACAACA